AAAACAGTTTTACATAAAATTTGAGCTATAGAATTAATCGAAATTCACTTGCCTGAATCTAAACTCAGACTACGATATATTTGGTAGTTTTCAATTTGAAAGCTCGGTATTGCGGTAAAACGAAAATTTCCTTGCAGAATTGCGTTAATAGGAAATTTTCTATGCGGAATCCTGGTATCTGATCTCACCCAAAGAACCACCCCTCCCGTTCCTTTGAATTTTGAGGGGAAATTGCAATTTATAGACATCTGTTACTGAAACATCTTGTCTCCAGAAAGTCAGAACAGCTTCCAAAGGTCCTTGTGCCAAATAAAAAATTTGCAGCCCCCATGCCTACAGTAGGATGGTATCCACTCCAATTAGTAACTAATCTTTTTATATTGAGATTTTGTATGAAATATCAGTTGTAAACCTCTTCACTCCCTTTATTTTTTTCAAAACCACCACAATTTCCTTTACCTCTTCTGAAAGATAAAATGAAAGGCTAAGTAGCCATATTGAACTTTGTAATGCCCCTATTTGCATTGAAATCTGTTATTTGTTTGCCAAACAGGGAAATGCCTAGGTACTACCTACCCCTGATGTGGCTAACACAGTTGATTTTGTGCATTTTATATCCATATGCATTTATTCTTATCATATCCATAAGTAATATTATTGATATGTTTTTTTGAATAGGTCTTGCTAATGAAAGTTAAGAACCACAAAATTAAACTAGCATTGTNGATAATTAAACCAGAGCGATATTTCAATTATTGACTCTTCCGTTAGATTTTTGGATAGGGAATCAGTTTTTTAGGTAAATGTCCCCTATTGGTTAAGTGTTCTATAGAGGAAACTTTTGCCATAGTGTGTTTGCTATGCGATTTCGGTCCCCCGGACACTTCACATCACAGTTTTGTTATTGCAAACAGGGTCCGGCCCTGTTTTATAGAGGGACACTTTTGGATGTGGTCGTTTTTGCTATTGCATTCTCGGGCGCTTTTTGACTGCAAAAGGTGTGGAAATTTTTTCATTCTGTCCCAACCACACCTTAGTGTCTTGCGGCGCCACTGAAAGTTCCTTGTTTCATCTGCTATAAAAAGCATACCATAAGTTCCATAACACTCCCTTGTCATATACTTTAATCATGTCATATACTTTGAACAAATTAATTTAAGTTTCTGATCCATCATTCTCCAAGGCCTTTGTTGTTAAAGAAAGGAGAAAAGGTGGGATATTTTTTTAAAGTCTTAACCTGGGTGGTACAAGAACAACTATAAAGTAAATTACCATATGATTATATATTAGCATTATTGTATTAACTCCTTACACTGGTTAATAACAGGGCCGCACTAGCATATTTAGTCCCAAGCATAGATGGGCCTCTCTATGAACTAATGTGAAAATTACGTCTAATGAAATTTGAATAATCATTGGACGCTGAATTTTTGTCTCTGTAGTTACAAAAAGGCATTTTATGAGTCGAATAAAAACATTTCATTATTATGTATATGAACAAAAAGAAGTTATTTCTCAAATTTTGATAGATAAATATATATCCTTAATCATGTCTCCTCGATTTACTTGCGACACGAGGCGACATTCTGTGACTTATAAAACTTTTCTCTTCAAATGAATATTCAAGGGCGGAAAGCTATTTCAAGGTTTTGATAGATTTGGAAATTGAAACTTTGGACTTGAATATTAATTTGTTTTTGTGTTTCCATTTTTGTATTCCGTTTTTGATTAAATTTCGATTTATTGCTAATACTCCGATTCTTTCTAAAGGGAAAAAAGTGGAGTATCTTTCTTCAATTCTGAAATGAAGAAAAATTGATAAAATTCGACGAGGGCTATGTTAAATGATTACTGTGATTTCTTTTAAAGACAATCAACAAACATTAGTCTTGTTGTTCTGGAAAAAATCAAATCTCATCGAATTTGTATTTGAATTGACCTGTACCAAAATACACCATTGTATGGAATTTCTCGTAGCGAAAAGAAGTTTCATTATGATGAGTTTTCAGTTGCCTATTTATAGGCGCGAAGGTGTCCAGCTTTATCTCCGTTGATTCTTTGTAAGCAATAGCGAAATAATGTTTTCAACTTTAACGTTGACAAATAATCCCATTTTACTCAGACTCTTTGATATCAGAAGGAAGAATGTAATTCTTTGCCAAAGACGTTTCTATGTCCCCTCCTTTGCTACCCAACTTTGTCGTTGATATTCTAGTTGTACCTTTACATAAAACCTTTCAGTAAGGAGTCTCTGATTGGGCAATTGCAAGATGCAATTCGCCATTAATACATGCTAATGCTAGATAGTTTGATAAAAAAGGGTCGAGTTTCATATATGGTGATTTGAAGAGATGTGTACATATTGCGAATTTTCCAATTTAGGGGCAATATTATGCATGCTTGTATCGTGCATAAAACAGTTTTACATAAAATTTGATCTTTAGAATTAATCGAAATTCACTTGCCTGAATCTAAACTCAGACTACGATATATTTGGTAGTTTTCAATTTGAAAGCTCGGTATTGCGGTAAAACGAAAATTTCCTTGCAGAATTGCGTTAATAGGAAATTTTCTATGCGGAATCCTGGTATCTGATCTCACCCAAAGAGCCATTCCCCCCCCCCGTTCCCTTGAAATTTGAGGGAAAATTGCAATTTATAGAATCTGTTACTGAAACATCTTGTCTCCAGAAAGTCAGAACAGCTTCCAAAGGTCCTTGTGCCAAATAAAAAATTTGCAGCCCCCATGCCTACAGTAGGATGGTATCCACTCCAATTAGTAACTAATCTTTTTATATTGAGATTTTGTATGAAATATCAGTTGTAAACCTCTTCACTCCCTTTATTTTTTTCAAAACCACCACAATTTCCTTTACCTCTTCCGAAAGATAAAATGAAAGGCTAAGTAGCCATATTGAACTTTGTAATGCCCCTATTTGCATTGAAATCTGTTATTTGTTTGCCAAACAGGGAAATGCCTAGTTAATACCTACCCCTGATGTGGCTAACACAGTTGATTTTGTGCATTTTATATCCATATGCATTTATTCTTATCATATCCATAAGTAATATTATTGATATGTTTTTTTGAATAGGTCTTGCTAATGAAAGTTAAGAACCACAAAATCAAACATTGTAGTCTCTGAACTGGTTAGAAGGTTTACCAAAAATCTCCCAAAGGTCTGAATAAAGTTCTGAAAAAGGTCTGAAAAAGGTCTGCCAAATACCTGAAAGCATTAATAAGAAAAGCATTGAAAGTTTATATAACATAAAATCTTTATATGTCTGATAAATCTGACAATAAATACATGCATTTTGAGAAAAACAGCTCTGATTTTATTGTTTTTTCTCAATTATTATTTCTCATTCTTATGCAAAAAAATCTGAACACAAATGTCTATTGTGTAAGAGCTGTGCAATAAATCTCTTAGTAAATGAGGGCTAAGTCAGAGAAGATGTCAGGCTTATTTTAGCAAAAAAGTACAATCTCATGGTATTATACAGTAAACATTATGACCGCACAATTGTACAAAACAAATAAGAAAATTTTTTCATGATTTTCAATTGTTTAAACCATATAAAAAATTTCAAGAAACAAAAATAATGTATTCTTTCCATCTATCAAAGTAATGTGAACCCTAAGACAGTTGTAGTGTTTACATATTATTAATGATGATGACATCGTCATATCAAATTTACACTATACAAGAAACATCTCATCCATTGTTGTCTTGTTTAAGTTTATTGAGTAAGAGTTTTCAGAAGATGTATTATTTGAAAAAGAAAATGCTCAGCTCAGCATCAATAGAGAGTGTTTGAAAAACCAAGAACAATAATTGTCAATGTCAAGAACATCCAAATTGAAAAGCAGACATTCTGAACAATATTACCTCTTAAGCAAAACAAAACTAGCAATATTTTATGTTTATACTTGTAAATATCAGTACAGAATATTCAAGATAAAATGTTTTCAGACAAAAATTTCCTCAATTTAAAAAAATTAATAGGGGGATTTGGATCATTTATTGATATAGAAGATGCCTAAACTTGAAAAGTATACAGTTTATATACACATCTAAATACTTTGCCTACTTTGTCTCTTAGTTGAAAAGAAAGGATGCAAAAATTCCGTCTTGATTCTAGAGACTTTGATAACTTTTTTCAGAGGTGTCATAAAGTTTGATGGAGGGGCTGTCCCTTTTAACATGGGGTAGAATATCTTCCCCGTCTAATGTATGCATGCTTCAAGGGGGCACTAGCCCCATATCTTTTCAGTAGCAGCATCTTGGAAAAAATACTATTAAATGGGCATGATTAAAGACAATGTCGATATTCACGATAAAGTTTACTATATATTCAAATTGTAGCAAGGCTTAGGCCAAACAGAGCAGGGACGAATAAATTATATGTCAACATTCACGCCTTTCATATGCAATTAATGTTAGATTTGTACATAGCTTTTCTTTACAATCAAGTATGCACGAGTAAAAAAATTGATTTTAAACACAAGGGAGCGTCTCTTGTGAATAAACCATCAGTTTTTGCCACGATTTCACGAATCAAGCTGATGGGCCTAAACTCACCGTATCAACTTTCTATTTCGGCTTACTATTATCATCTACCGCAAGAAATCTAAGCAATCTTTGCATTATAAATAATATATTTTTGGATTTCCAGTAAATTTAACAGTCATCTTGAACTTTAGAATATATCAGCATCTTGAACTTTTTCTCGAAGCTTCGCTATACACTTCCGCCATTACCACTTGGTCACTGAAACGCTACCCGTTTCACGAAGGTTACTGAAACGCATCTACGTATCGCCTCAAAGGGGACACTTTTGCATGGGGGACCGATTAGCATACTACACCGGCCCTGAGTCTTAATACTATCCGTTTCGATACTATCCATTGATAAACAAGATTTCTCTAGCTGTTGTTTCCTTTTCCCCTACAACATGTCAACATTTCTGAGAACTGGTAAGCAGAAAACAAGACACGAAGCCGAAAACGCTGTTCTCTCTTTGATCACAACCTCACTTTGATATAAATTCACATTTGTTAATAGAACACAAAAAGGTCCAAACACTTACACCTACATATTCTATTTCATCAATTACCACTGCAAAATGACTTTAAAATTTAAAGCTATAGTGTTATTCTCATAGTTTTGGTCTTTTAGAAAGAGAAGCTTTCATTTTATACAATATTGAATGAACCTGTTGATAATCTTCTCCGAAATAATCAACGCATCGCTTTTGCCAATCTTTTACTTTACTCGACAGTTCAACTAGGTTTTCATCGAGCAATTCCAACTGACTGAACTCACATATTGCCAACACATCGGCAATTGATATTTCTTTACTTGACAAGAAAGGTGTGTCCTTCAAAAAGTGATTGTCGTATATTTTCATGCAATCTTCCATTTGCTTCTTTCCATTTTTGATTTTGTGTTCGTTAACAGGCTTGCCAAGCAAAAGCGGGCCAAAAAGCTGTGAAATTAAAAAAGTTAAATTGATTACTCTAAAAATAATGGCACTTTCATTATTTATCAAAAGCACGATCTTGCTTTCTTGCAGCTTCAGTCTGTTTATGATGACATTGTATGAAGGAACAAAGTATTAATAAATGTAAGCTGTAATCCAAGAATTTATGCCCTAAGATGGTTGATCCTTGAATAAAACCACACCAAAGCAATTGTAGAAGCTATCGTTGAAAGGACGGGCCCCGGGCTCTGACGTTTTATAGTCTGAAGAATTTCAGATGAAAAACTTTACTATATTTAAAATTGTTTTCAGATGAAAAGCTTAACTATGTTTCAAATGAAAACAAGAAACGAAAACAGTCGAACTCAGGAGCTGTGTGACAGCGGATGAAGAAATGGGTCGGTTCCAGTGCCAAGCAACTGCGGGATGCTGGCAGATCAAATGGCAGTTTTAGCTTAAAGACATGCAGCACATAGGCGAAGGCGCCATAGAGACTGGGGGGCTACAGCCCGTGGCGGCGCCAGCTACAGCAGAGTGGGAGGGTAATTGGCGTTGCCAGCGAAACCAAACTCCTTTCGCCTCGTTTCAGTGCCTTGTACCAAGTTAATTTTCCTTGGGAAATGTGACCTACCCCTTTCTAGCACTTTTTGATCAATTTCTAGAAGAAATGTGTAGACCATGTTTGACAAAAGTGGGGGGGGGCGCCAAGGTAATTACCCCCCCCCCCTGAACAGCCACTTGGTGCCGCAACTGGCTACAGCCCCCAGATAAGGCAAAATTTACCGAATTTCAGGCCCCTTTCACACGATTTTGCAGAGTATTAGAGTGTATATCGAAGAAGTGTTTACTTGTAATATAACAATATGCTTGTCCAAAGTTCATAAAATTAAGCTTTTGTAAAGTCATCCCAATGCCCCCATGTTGCTTGCAATCTTCCTGAAGCCTTTTGATACACATGTATATTAAACAATATGAAGTAAAAAGCTAAATTTGAAACAAAGTGTTGTGCAGGTCGGATAGTCAAACATCTTATAAAAGGAACAATTTTGAAAAACAAGCTGAAAATTTTCTCACATGAAACTCGTATCATGTAAAATATCAGAAATCGCATCGAATCGTGTTTTTTCAATTTCCCCATGATTCTAGGTTCTACATGACATGTTATGTAAACAAGGCCAAAAATACTGCAAGAAAAGGAAAACCAGCCAAGCAACCCTGGATGACAAAAAACTCAGTGGGGTGTCACACCCCTTATGCCCCCAATACTGATGACCTTGTTAACATTCACAGTTCCAAGTTGCCAGTACTCACTTTTCCCCAAATAATGCTCACAGCAGCCAATCTTGTATTGGTGTGATGCCAAGAGAGGTATTCATCAATTTTGGCTCTTTTTTCGAGATCCTTTGGGTACCAATGATCAGCTAACTGATATTTGGCACAAATGTATTTCATCATGGCAGTGCTGAAATAAAATCACAACAACATCACAAGAAATTTAAATGAATAAATCATAGTTAGTAAACACATTTTTGAACATGATAATATGCACAGCTTTAATTTGAATAGACACAGAAACAGGGGCGTACCTTGACGATTTGGAGTAGGAGGGTGTAAACGGGTGAATTTACGGACTAAAATTCAACTCTTGCTAGTCAATGTATACACACCAATATAATATATATAGTCACGATATGCTTCTACTGACAATTCATAACATTTACAAACCATCAAAAAAAACTACTGTCTAACTTTTTCAAAAGTTGGGGGTGTACCATCCCCCCACACCCCCCTGGTATGTAGGCACCTGCACATAAGCATACCTCTACATGCTTCGATGCACACTGTCTGCACACAGAACCGTTCTGAATCATTTGAATAGAATTCTTAACACATAAACAGCATTAGCATAGTATCAAAGTTTCCCACACTGAGCCAGATTAAGAGGTTGAAAGAACAATAGACAAAGAAATAACAAGAAATAACAAAAGAAATAACAAAAAGGAACAAATTGATAATATTTAAAGCTGACAGGTAAAGATTTGTCCTGTTCTTTACACCAAATAGTGCAATGTGTTGCTTGAATTTCAGAAACTCCATGAATCAAACTCCAAAGTGTACCATGATAAAACAAATATTCTGAAACAAATACAAAGCATATTTGTCAAAAATACAAAAAAAGCCTTTAAATACAAAAAATCAATCACACTATCATTACCTTTCAAAGAGTTTCATGTCCCCATCTTTCAAAGCTGGAACTCTTTTAGTAGGGCTCACATCAACAAATTCCTCATCAGAGTATTGTGCTCCTAGAACATTGCAATTGAGAAAAAATATTTCTAAAAAAATGCATCTCTACAAAATTTTGCCTGTCCATTTTTATTCTAAGCGTGACTGATTAATTCAAAGAAAATTTTGTGCTACTATTTGCTATGAATGATGTTTGCAAGCAACATTCTCTTAATACTTTCTTTGTCAGCTAGAAGCAAGAACAACATAAAAAGGTTCAAATTTAGTTAGGCTAGAAGCAAGAGAAGAATTGCATCAATCAAGAAGTTTTATCTCTATAATTTCTTTCCTTTAATGAAATAGATGTTTATTCAACAGCTTGCTCAAAAGGTAATTTTTTTCAGATTGACAGCCCAAAAGCTGAAGAAGTTTCGAAATGAGCCATCTGCTCTTAGCCTTAAGGGTTAAAGCAAATGCTCCTTGTTTAGCAGAGGCCTACAAATTTCAGCAGCTGTGTTTGGGCTAGGGACCCCATTGGTACTGAACATCTGGGCATTTAGGTAGATTTTTGCAGTGAAGAGCAGTATTTCTTTATAGAATTGGCACAAGGCTGAGCAATTTATAGTCAAAACTTTGTGACCTAATTCTTCTAAAAATTGACAAAGTGTGATTTTATTCTATTTTTGTCTGACAAAGCCCTGTATGAAATATTAGCCAACTTTAATTTAGTTACGTTTTTGTTGTTATTTGTTCTCAGCCCTTTTCAGTGTTCCTTATTTCTATTTTATTTTACTTATCTATTGACACAAATAAAAGATTGTAGCAATGAAACATCGCAAAAAATTTTATCATACAGAAAAGCTATAGTCACAGTGGCAAAATAGGTGGATGTTGACGGTATATGAAAACATAAGCAGGAGCCAACACAGCAACAAAAACAATTACAGACACAAGGATCAGGTACAAATGGTCATTGTTGGAGAAGGTAGACTTAGTCTAGCCTGGAGAAGGTGTGAAGAACCATATCATGATAAGCAATCACACAGGAGACCAGTAGGCACTAACAGACCAGCATTGACTAACTAACAGAGTACTCCAAATTGCCATCAGAGCTCCGGACAATACATGCCTGTGGTTTCTCCATAAGCTATAGGTTCTCCATAGGTATGGTCTCCAAAATCTGTTTATGGCTACCCCCATTTGATATTTTGTTCCTTTGCAGGTTTGCCCTTATGTAAAGTTGGAGGTGAAAAGACAGAAATCTGGCTGAAATGAGTACTTCTTTTTCAAAAGTGTAGGAATGTGGGAAGCATGGGAAAAATTACCTATTTGATCTCTGAAATGTGCTTGGATATTTCCAGTGTTTTTAATGGTTGTAGATAGGCAGAGACACTGGAATGGCCAAGGGGCAAAGAGACAGGCTTGAGTAAAAGGGTTTTTGAAAGATAACTCACAGCTTCTACTTTTTCCTTCTACTAACTGCCATTATATTTTGATATTCTGAAGAATCTTGAAATTTGGCTTACTTTCGGCATAAGGTTTCATTTTACAAGTTTTGAGAAATGTTTTCGTTAATTAAACACTACCATAAGAACTTTATATGAATCTCTCTGATTATCACAATTGACTGATTTCAAGGGCACATTAATGAAAAGGCAACAGGGGCAGTTGACCCCCCCCCCCCTATACCCCCTTCTCTGGCGTCCCTGCAGATAAGAGAGATCATATTCAAGGGGGCCACATCATTGCAGGGATTTTAAGGAGCAATAGTCCTCAACAATGTTTTACCAAATAGACCCCTTTAGGAGCCTTACAGTCCTAGTACAGTGGTCCCAGCTTATTTACTTGGCAGATTTACACTTACTTTAACCTCATGAAGAGTTGTCCCTTTCTAACAGATCCCGTTTACACAAAGGCTCTTCCACTTATCTAATAATTCCCACTTACATGGATAACTGTCATCCAAAAAAGGGGCCCGAGTTTGGTTATTTTATTAGCGTCAAAAAATGCCCATGAAATGCTTTAGTGATTCCATGCGTACTTGATTTAAGAGGAACAATTACTGCAATCCTAATAGGCCGAGGTAGGGAAGGCCGATAGAGTGTGGAAAATGTCCAAAAATAGAGGGAAGACTTCCTAAAACTTTGGTAAGCGTCACACCTTTGGCAAGATTGATCAAGTGTGGAACAAACGGCACTTTGTTTGCTTTTAAGAGCAACACCACTGATCTAGAAGGCTGCGACATCATATCGAAGTAAAGTTTTAGTGATGCCATCTTTTCTCTTCCTTTAAATGAGATACAACCACGTTGACTGCACAACACGAAAAGGTTTTCCAAGAACTCAACACTGATCAGTGGAACTCAATCACGATTTCAGAATGACTGTGACTCAGTTCGGAGCACAGATTGTTGCTGCAGTTGTGACGCGATGACTTGAACATGATTGGTTGAGAGGTCAAACAGTGCGAATTCCGTGGAAAAAAGTTGCCTTGATTTCAACTTTCGAAATGGAAAGCGGTACGGAAAGCGGTACGGAAAGCGGTACGGAAAGCGGTACGGAAAGCGGTACGGAAAGCGGTACGGAAAGCGGTACGGAAAGCGGTACGGAAAGCGGTACGGAAAGCGGTACGGAAAGCGTACCGTTTTTGAATGTCAAAACATTTTCTGCGCATGCTTGTACCGTATACCGTATTCCGTTTTACGTCCATACCGTGAAGAGGAAATCCATCTTAAGATACATTTTTCTATATCCCAGGGCATACCACACTAGGACTGGTTGTGAGAAAAAACCCTTTACCGCCTAACACTGCCTTATGAAAAATTCACCAAAGCATACGCTGTACCATAATATTTGGTGCTTGCAAATATAACTGGAGCATACAATATTTGTAAAAATTACTGAATAAATTGAGCGAGCTGTTCTTACATATTTTTGCCTTTAAATACCCTGCTCCACAATATATCCTTTATTTTGATCATCATTATCTTCTATCAGAAGGTTGGCTACCATGACCCTCAAACTATCCCAAAATCTGAGTTTTGATTTGTTGTCATGGTCATCGATAAAACTATTTTGATACAATCTCTAAAATTTTAACTGCAAAATGATACCCTGTTCTGCAACACATCCTATCAGCTCGAGTGTGGGAACCCTACCCAGGCAATCCTTAACAGATCCAGCTTACATTGCCAGTTTTTAGGTATTGTTCAGTGCTTTCAGGGTAGGTGCTCAAAGTCTTAAATTCTAATAAGAATTCTAAGGAAGACATCAGTCCTCACCACTCTATGTCTTTTTACATCGAAAACCTGACAAGTCATTTGCAACAGCCATAAATACATAGAAATCCGCTATTAATATGTGAAGAAGTGTAGTTTCTACTTCAGGATATGAAACCTTTAGGGGAGCATTTGAACAAGTTAACAAATGTTTTATTGTTGGATGAGCCATATATAGAACTACCCTGGGTACCAGAGCCTCAGAGAGTCAAAGAATAAAAGGATGAAGACATGGGAAAAGGAATTGCAAAGAAGAATTGGAGAGGAGTGGAAAGACAAGGCCTTTCTTTCCACCGTTCTTCATCATTTGATCTTCTGAGGGTCTGGCACCCAGGGTAATATTGAACATGCTCTTCTGTTGCAATGTGAATTAGTCTGGCAGTTTGGTTCGATCCACTAACTTGCACAAACTTTCATTTGAATGAGGGGGGTCGCTAGCTCTCTGCGAATGAGGGCGTACTTCGCTTGGCAAGAAGAGTAACTTTCCTAGAAATACACACTTCTTGTTATGATTTGTCACAGGTAACATAAGGTCAATAGCAGAGCACATACGTTTGGTGTCTCCCAGGGATCAAACCTGGGCCCAGTCTTGATCTACAACCTTTGGCGCCCAAATTGACGCTGACAATCCGGTATTATTCTGTTTGGCTATATCAAAGAAAACCTTTGAAAATGTCATAAAATGCGATTTGCAATGCATAGCTCGCGGGAAAATATGGCTTCTTGATACGTACTACCGTAAATCTTTGAGCTTACCCCCCTTCCCCTCCAAAATGTAAACATACCCCCCCCCCAACAATTTCCCCTCGTTCTGGGGGTCTGTATAGAAACATCCTTCACGTTCTTGAAACAGTCTCGATAAAATAACACCTAAAATGCTAAAGCAGTCCAAATCCTTGAAAAACTGGATTCTGAAGTGCTTGTCGTGGGTTTTGCTCCAAGGAGAACGGACTTTACAACTATGGAAAATTACTTTTTACACGTAGTGCTTCCTCGCCTTACACAATTCAGGATATAAACATTAGTCAAATTGTGAAGGAAACAGACAGTTGTAGAATATGGTCAGCCACAAAACGCTACATATGACCTTGTATAAAGGGAAATTGCCACGTAAAAATGCCATAGCTTTTCCAAACGCATTTACAAATTGGGTGTTTTCCCCATTTTTTAGGGGTTTGGTCAGCAAAAATGTTCTTCTCTTTGCTACATCAATCCTCCAACCCTACTACGCCACTGCTTCGTATCGTCTTTACCTTAAAGTTAAAAACCAAATTTTCAAAATGTTTCCATTATTTACCAGTGAACTGAAGGGTGTGGCACCAAGATTAGTGTCTAACACCCCCTCCCCCCTCCCAACCCATGTTGCTTAAAAACCGCCCCTGGTCGAGTAAAAATAGTCAAAGTTGACAACTATTTGCGTATAGTATCATGCACGTTAATAGCAGGGGAGTCAGTGGCGTACCCCGGGCTGCAGCAGTGGGGGGGGGGGGGGCCGGACCCCTCCATTCACCCCCCTTGGGTACGCCACTGCAGGGAGTGCACCTTATAAGTCTGATGAGCTAATAATGTAGATTGCCTTAAGCCGAGAATAGCTAAAAGGCACTATTCGTGCGAAAAAATGCTTGTTGGTGATAAAGTGGTATGAAAATTTTTTTTGCGGTACAGAATTTGAAAATGGCTTTGAAAAAAGCAAACATTTTACGACATACTAAAAGCTTTTTCGTCTGACACTCCTCAGAGCATGGAAAAACTCAAAACGATCTTCCTGGACAACGGCTATCCAGAAGCCATTTTATCTAATACTAAGGAGAAGATCGCAAGTTTTTCGGCTGTTCAAAAGTTTGGTCCGCAAAAGTGCCCAGTTTATTTGAAACTACCATGGATTGGTAACACTTCCTTGCTATTCGAGAGTCAGATTAGGCAAGCCATAACCAATTGTTTCTTTGCTGTCAATCCTCGGATTGTTTACAGCACTAGGAGAGCCCTTCAATCCACTCAAAAGGATTGCGTTCCTACCCAGGGGCGGATCCAGGATTTTTGGTGACTATAGCTCAAATCTTTTGGGATCGGGACCACGCCCTCCTTGCTTGTGGGACACGCCTACTATATGGGCAAATGATATAACCATGTGTGTTTATAGTTGCTTCGTATTAATAAATATTCCTTCGAACATCCTTTTTCTATTTCCAGGGACGCCAGAGAAGGGGGTGTGGGGGTACAACCGCCCCTGTTGCCCTTTGGCAGAAGGTGCAAGGGTTGTTTTTAATAAAGTTACCTTGAAACTGGCCAATTGTAATAATCAGAGAGATTCATATAAAATTCTGAACTTCTCAAAACATGTAAAATAGTTCTATATGCCGAAAGTTAGCCAATGTTGAAAAAACCTACAGAAGATCGAAATGAAATTGCAGTTACGTATCAATCAAAAGCCCTTTTACTCAAGCCTGCCCCCCCCCCCTCACCCTCTCGCCCCTTGGTCGTTCCGCCGTCCCTGTCTATTCCCTAGTAGGTCCTTGCCTTTGAAGCTACATTACAGGGGACCCAGGATGTGAAAACGAGCTATAGTCCACTGTTGCTTTACAGGGGACAGAGAGCGGAGAAGTAACGTGGATACTCATATTCTATTGGTTTAAAGGCCATTTTCAAACTTGACTATAGCTCGCGCCAAAAATTATAGTACGGGTTTCATTGTCTTCGATGCCTTTTCCAAAGCAAATCCCCAGACCGACTTGATAACCTTTACCGCTGCTTTCAAATGTTGATAGTAAACACTTGTGGGCATAAACACATTTTTAGGGACTGCAAGGAGACTTTGTATTTCGAAAATCAAACACTGAGAATTTGACTATAGCTCGAGCTACAGTTGCTATAGTCTGGATCCGCTCCTGCTACCAACCAAAAAAGTTCCGTCATTTATGAATTTACGTGCCAGTGTGATTCTGGCTACGTAGGACGCACAACCCAAAGATTGGGGAATAGGATAAAACAGCATGTTCCTTCCAATATAAGAAACAAAACTGCCCCTCAAAGAGAACAGCCTCCACGATCTTGTAGGTCTAGAAACACTGTTAAAACAAGTGATTCTCCCATTGGTCAACATCTTTTAGACAACCCAGATTGTGCAAAACTCTATAATGACGACATGTTTCGGATAATTGGCAGAGCCCGGTCGTCCTTCCATCTAGCAGTTTTGGAGTCGATCTACATAAAAACGAAAAAGCCGCCATTGTGTAGACAGAAGGAGCTCGTTTTCTCTCTTGGACTCCATTGGTAATTTTTCTTTAGGCTCGCGGCACTGACTGGTCAACTATACCGGTCTTGTGCTTGCGTTTTTCTGATTGGCCTATTTCGATCCACAACTGGGTATATATTTTCCATCTTGTTCTTTCGGAACATTATTCTGACGTTTTATGCTCTTAGGAGTGTCAGACGAAAAAGCTTTTAGTATGTCGTAAAATGTTTGCTTTTTTCAAAGCCATTTATAAAGAGGTATATTTTTGGATAAAGCAAAGAATGGTATTGAGACACTATTGGAAGAGAAAACAACCTCTCTCGGCAGCTATTTCCGCATGCAGGAAACAAACGCCTATACCCTGCCGCTCTTATACAAAAAAATCTACTTCTTAAAAATACCAGAGCATGATAATACATATAAACCTCTTGCTAATGCGCTTTAACTAACAACAAATTCCCTCTCTCGGCAGCCAATGGGTTAAAAACGCGTAAAAAATTTACCAATAAACTGAGCTCTATTAGTCAAATAAACTAAACAATAACAATGAAAAACTAGATGAGCGTTCTGGCAGTAACGTCAATGCCAAATAATTGTCAATATACTAAGTATTATACCAAAATAATCAAAATAGGCATAATCGAGAATTGATTTTCGTTTTTCTGAAGCTGTGCCACTTCCAAAGCTTTATTCTTTAAACAAAAAGACTTAATTAAATTAACTTCGAAAAAAAGCTAAAACCGAAAAGTACCTGCTGCCCGTCTCGCATCTTCGATAGATTCTTCTTGTACAACCTACACAACAAAAAAGGTTATATACTGGACTACTATACCGGATTATCATACCGGATTATAATACCGGATTATCATACCAGATTATCATACCGGATTATCATACCGGATTATCATACCGGATTACCGTTTCAGCTTGGAAAAATTGCATTCAAATAAATTAATTGAATGTGTCATTGTCCTGCTGGAGACCTTTCAGAAGAGGTAAAATATAGCTTTTCTACCCACTTTTCAATTAGAAAAGACTTTTTACACTGATTTCGTTGAAAAGTATACTGACACACGGGTATGGAAACAAGCCATCATCTATATTACTAAATCTCTTTCGTTGTGTAACAGAAGGTTTTCAGTAGAGCCTCCGTAATTGCAGTGACACACATAATGCTTACAGCACGATGCTCTATTTTCTTTTGCAGTGCAAATTTTCCTCAAAATCTCCTTTATCAATCGACCAAACAACAGCACAAACAGCAGGGAGTTGAGGGAGACTAGCATAACGCCAAGTCCCCACTTGTCTTTGCTTTGCTCGAGAATTTCGTCATCACCAATCGCCCTTTTTTGTGTTACACCATAGCACAGATTCACCACAACAATCACTAGAGCCAGTAACTGCATCAAGTTGTCAAACTTGTCTTTCATTGGCCACATCCGAGCATGAGCAACAGCGAACAAAATGCTTAAGATTATAAGCCCAAACAGCCCTATCTTTATGTTGTGCAGAACCAAAGCACTTGCAATGCTGATGATCAGTTTTCGAACCATTTCAGTCACCTCCCAGTACCAGCTTTCCGGCTTGTAGTTGCCGTAGAAAAGTCTAAGCGCCACGGCTACAGACTCCTCCGCAGCTGCCTCCTCGCCATCATCGTTGCTGCCGCTGCGCATCATCAGTGTTGTTCTTTTTGGGAGCTAACCGCCAGAGAAGAAGAAACAGCAGCAAAGGAAAGCCGAGGGGCAACATTAAGGCCGCGTATGCAGCTTTGGTTACAATGACGTCATCATTCGTGCCTGATGTACAGCTAACACGGTAATCCGATCGCAGGTACGAGACTCTGTGCAAGCACTGCCCGTCCTTTTCCGATGTACAGAATGCATGGCAGCTGGCGGGTTGGATTTGGAATATCTTGCTTGATGTCAAGGGGTAGGTCGCGAAAAGGAACAGAAATATGGCCTCAAGGCATTGCTGAACGTTCTTCCTAAGCCTCGTTCTGAACTCCACTGTATCCCTAACACAACAGTAAGAGCAAAGTGATTTGATTGCTGTGTAAATACAAATTATGAAGGGAACAGTCGCGGTGGCAATGATGGCAAACCAGAATTCCTTGATGGCGTCCATGCGCCATTCTCGTTTTATGCAATGCAAAGAAGGTATATGGAAGATCGAGAACTGAATAAATTCAAAAACTCTGACAGCTTTTGTAAGATTTCCAGGCCAGTGAATGTTTGGAAGAGCGTGTATGATGCCAACTAGCACTTGATAAAAACCAATGAGGATTTTCAATGTTGACAGAATTAAATCAGCAAATGTTTTGCTATCGTTTCCTGCGAGTTTCACTTTATCAACTTTGGACATTAACCAGCAAATAAAAACAAACGCCAAAAAGAATGCAACACACTGCACCGCTGCAATGACTGAAGAGGGACATTTAGTGCATTTACCAAAGTTTTTCATGTATCCCCCCTGACAAACTGCACACAATATTCCAGTGTAGCCTCGCTTACAATCAGCCTCTATGCCACCAAGGCAGGAGCCTTGTAGCGGGCATTTGTGTGCAGTGGGCATGTGACAATCGTACTTGATTGTAGCCCGGTCATATGTATCGTTCTTTGTATCCAGATTCTGCATAAAAGCCTTGTACAACGTCTTGCAAGATGTATTTGATGCAGATTGCATTGTTTGCCACGACATCCAATAGCCTTTAGTCAATTCCTTGTAATCTGTTTGACAGGAAAACCCTTCTTGGGTACATTTTGTGCATCCTTGAAACCGATGACTTCTTGCAAAACCAGGCAAACATTTACAGGCGCGATAAGCTGCGGAGCTGTTTGTATTTGTCCCAAAAGGGCATGTGAGACATTGCAATGGACTTTTCCCTGGTGCTTTATCTAGTGGCACAAACTGGCCTAGTGGACAGGGCTTGCATGCAATGGCTGCCATTTCGTCCTGATAGAAAGCCCCAGCAGGGCAAGCCCTACATTCATATTGACTGTAATAACCGACTGGACATGGCGTACAAGTACTAAAGTATCTGAGATTTTTGTTTTCGATACATGTAAAACCCTCTAAAAAAACCAATTCTGTTTTTATTACCAGGCTTTTAGATGGGCTACAAATTACTTTCGGATTGATATCAAAATGACTTGGAATTTCCTTGAGGTTGGTACAGGATATATAAATCTCTGAGCCATTCAGCGTCTTCCTAAAGTCTGAGCTTCTAATAGACTTCAACTTGTTACCAAACAATAAAAGTAGGTATGGTTGTCTTTTCATATCCTGAAAGACTCCGTCTACGGTGCTCAATTCGTTGGCAAACAGGAACAACTTTCTTATAGATAAACCGCTAAAAACTCCCCTTGGGAGTTTCGCGAGTCCATTTCTTTGAAGATGCAACTCCCCAATGTATTCAAAATGTTCAAAAGTATCTACTGGGATAGTTGTTATGTTATTACTTTGCAAATATAATTGGGAAATTTTCTTTAACTTTGGAAGAAAATGTTTGTCAATCTTCTGGACTCGGTTGTGTGACAGTGATAGTGTTCTGAATCTAATTTCTGAAACATTAAATGATTCGATGAAATTGTTTGACAAATCAAAATTATCAATATATCTTATATTAAACTTTGAAGCTTCTCTAAGACGATTTCCTTTCAACTTTAGGTGGAAAAGTTGGCGAATGCCGAATAGGTCTGGCATTGTTTCAATTCGATTATAATGTAAGTAAATTTTGCGCAAGAGGCTGTTGTGTTGAAACAGTTTATTTGGCAAAAAAGAAAGTTTGTTGTAACTCAATTCGAGTAGCTGGAGATCCTTGAGCTGATCAAAGGCCCCTTTGGCAATGCTACGCAAGCCAGTCGATCCTAGGGAAAGAGACTGGAGTCTCTTTAGGTTGTTCAGATCATTGCTACAAATTCTCTGCACTGAATTTCCATTCATGTTAAGTCTAATGATGGATGAGGGAAAAATTGAAAAACTTCCATTTAGAAAAAGTTTGTTGTTTTGCATCAATAACACTATAACATTTGGTGTTCTCTTGTCTTTAAACAGCTCCGCCACTGCGTGAACAGATAACTGGTTCCCCGATATGTCAATAATTCGGAGGGTCTTTGGAAGAATAAATGAATTCTTTATGGAACATTCTCGTAAGACGAGCTTTTCTAGCTGTCTAAATCGAGCAAAGGAATTGTTTTGGAACTTTATTGATGGGTTTTTAGAAAGATCAAGATAGCGAATGGATGATGGAATCTCTGATGGTAGTGTCTTAGGCCAGCACCAATACACTGGACAGTAATTTGAGAACACTTGCAACGTTTTGGGCACTGATATCCCAATGTACCAAGATGGCAAATGTACAGCCATGTCACCAGCAGCAAAGTCAATCTCGAATTCTTCATCATGATATGACGTAACTGAGATCAGTGAACTATTGGTCAAGGGAACTTTCACAACATTTAAACCTCTTCTTTCTGCAGTAACTTTCCTCGTTACAGGAAAAACCTGAAACGATAATAAACAGGTTATGTACTTTGCAGGCATGCCAATTTTCTAACTGCCAGCTAAAGATTTTAGACAAGATTTTATAGGCGATTTAGCCGTAATTAGCGAGTAAGGGCGGCAAATTTCGCCCAGAACAACCTTTTCAGTCAGATAGACTGGCAGTTTAAGAGTCATAGGATTGTGAACTCTATATTTCAAGCATTTGACCGCAATCCGACTCTAGAGGCTTGTTCTGTTTACCTTGGTATATCTGAGGTATTTGACCGGGTCTGGCACGAAGGTCTTCATTACAATTTGTGTCTATTATACGTTGTTAGTAGGTTGCTTTCGCTGATGCAAAGCGTCCTTGTCCAAATCATACTGTTTTAAATGGTGAAACATCTAAATTGAGTACTTGTACAGCAGGTGTTCCACAAGGCTCTATTTTAGGACTCCTGCTTTTCTTGCCACATAATTGACCTAACAGATGGTTTGAACTGAAACATTAAACTATTCGCAGACTATTCCTCGATTTTTGCTGTCGTTCACAATCAAAACGCAGCCGCTGAAGATTTGAACCATGATCTGAAACTGATCAGTACCTGGGCTTATCTATGGAGAATGCCCTTTAACCCACGCCAGGGACTGCGGAAGCGGGCTTCAGCCCCCCTCTCCCTAATTCCACTTTCATTTCATATAATTGTTTTAGGGTGTGCCAATCCCCCCTGGTGGTTTTTCAATCCAGTACAAACCTGAGGAAATAAAGTGCAAACCTGGGGGAAACAAAGCTGTTGTCAGCATGGACTGTGGAACATATGACAGGTCGCTGGGTGATTAAAAAGTTTTGGGAGCTGATCATGCAAATCGAGGGACAATCACTGTTCACGATCACGTACGATAATAATCACACTTTAATCACAAATTAATCGCATTTATCACAAAAATTCTCCAGTCACATTCATCACAAATATTTTAATATTTGACCACTTTAAACACCTATGGGAGGAAAAAATGAAATTATTAGAATGTACTTTTCAAATTTTTTGTGAGCCACGCTCAAAAACATGGACAAGAAAGCAGCGAACTCTTTAAAGTGTTCTATAATAGAGTCAAAATGAAGGCAATTTTCAAATAACTTGTTATGACTTATCTGAAGATTATGCCAAAAACATTTAAATTTTTTCAAACTGGTATTTTCGGTTTCTGAATGTGACGAAGAATATGTTTGGGGAAAATATTGTATCTCTTTTGAATTAGATTTATTTGAAATAAGTTTCGGAGTGATGACGTATAAAAAATTAATGAAACATTTATTTTAAGCATAATGAGATATATTTTAGAATTGTTCAATTTTGACCATATAGCCCAAAAATCATAATGAATTACCACTAAATGGGCAAAATCCGTTGAATTTGTTAGAAATTGGCTCAAATATGGCCACATAAGCACAAGCTCTTTTCCCCAAACAACCTTTGTAATTTTGTCTTGGTTCATAACTTTATAAACCAGGCCAAAACAACAGGCCATTTTGCCCAATTTTTATGATGGAATATTCAGTTCAAAAACATTTTACCCGTTTTCAGGCCCGATTTTCCATTATCGAGCTCGGTTTTTCATTTTCGAGCCCGATTTTGCTTTTGCTTGCTGTTGAGCAAAAACGCGTGCCATTTTCAAAAAGAGCGACCTGTCAAAACAGCATGACACTAAGCCGAGCTGATAAAGTGCTGAGATCTTTTTTAAGTGTTCTCGATCTGTGCTCTTTTACTCGCTGCATGCTGATTTTTCAAGTGCGTTTTTATTCAACTTCCGGTTTTACTAGTAACTTTTATCATCACTCGCGCGGTGAATCCTGAATTCGTTTCGCGCAAAATTAAATCTACCGCGCGGTAATTTCTGCTCGTCTTGCGCTGTTTTCGTCCAAGGTAGATTGCGCAATACATGCTTTTTATAAGAAACCGGATCGGATTATAACAAACCTGATAATAGAGACCCTGGAAATTTATGAATGTACGTATTTGAAGAACCAGCTTTTGACGGATTTAAACAGGGAATCCGAAACAAGGGGGGCGGGCTTGATTAGAAGGGCATTTGAAAAATAACTGTCATTTTGTTTTGATCTTCTGCCAGTATTATAAAAATCGGCTAAATTTCGGCATAAGAATTTATTTTTACAAGTTTTGAGGAATGTCGTCATCATAAATAAGGCATTACAGTCAGAATTTCATATGAATCTCATGGATTTCCTACAAAAGGCAGCGTCAAGGGCACTTCTATGAATACGGCACTTTAGCTCCCCCTTCCCCCTCCTTGCCTCTCCTCATTAGCGACCGATGTTTCAGTTTTCGGAGATTGTTAAAAGTATGTCACACCCCTTCCAAGGTATGTCCATTCCCCAGTAGGCATATTATAAACAGTGCCATAGCCAAGAGGCAAGGAGGCGGCGGTACCCCCTCTAAATCCTAAAAAGATTCATGTGTTAGAAAAGAACAGGTCTAGCCGTCTGTCATAAGTAGAGATGCTTGGTGTTGAAAAATTGGGCTTTTTTAATTTTACATTAACAAATTATTTATTTTTTGCCTCCTCTCAGAATTCGTCTTTTACCACCCCGTTTTCAAAATTGTTCACAATTTTCAAACAATGTTGCAAAGAGCAACAGACATTTCACTTTGTTTTTCTGCCATATCAACGTGCAATTTTCACTTGCATGTAGTCAAATCGTCATTTCCATATTTTAGCAGGGTGTGTGCGGGTGCGGGGGACTGGCATGTACACCCCCTTCTATTCCCTCCCCCTTCTATGAGAGGTACTAGAGTAACCGACAAGGGACCGCAGTGCAGGGGCGTCACTTCATACTTTTTATTGGGGGAGGGGGGTGACTGCTTTTTTGCCCTACGAAAGAAAATTTGCCCCGCCAAAAGTTGAAAAAAATGTTGCTAACCTCTTCTTGATCATTCGCTTCTAACCACTGGCAGGGCAGGTTGTGGTTCTACGGAAAAACTCTCATAGTGCCTTTATTATTATCTAAGGCCTTTAGTAGGCAACTCATTTTTCTAGTTGTGTACACATTTTAATGGTCAATAATAACTTACCCTATCAATCGCGCGTTACCCTATGTGCAAAATTTTTACGATTTTGAATTTGGCATTTCAAAGTTATATAAATACTCCTACATGGCCAAAATACTTTCCAGGTTGTGTCATATCTCTTCACCAACTATAGCAATTGGCCCCCTGATACTTTGGCCCTGCGCAATCTAATGTTTGCCTACCAAACTTTCATAAAAACATCAGTACTAGTTTCGCCTTTGAAGACGATTATCCAAACTTTGAGTGTAAGTCCCAGGAAACCTCCCCCATCCCCCCTGATGTAGCAGTAGCAATCTAAAATTTCTCCGGCAGGATGCAGACAAAAACACAACTTTTGAAGTTTTTTCTCTAACAATAAATATAGACAATTGACAAATAGTCAAAAAGTAGAATTATTTATAAAAATTGTTCATATTAAATGTTTCTGAAATAGTTATTTTACTGAAGGACTGCTATTAAATTCTTATTGTTCTACTTCCATTCAATTTAGAAATTTTAAACCTTCTATGACATTGACGTTGTATAAAGCGAAATTGCCACGTAAAAAAGCCATGGGATGTTTTCCTAAATTCTCAAGGGTGTGGTCAGCAAAAATTTTCTCCTCTTTGCCCCTCTAATCTTCCAAACGTGGCTACACCACTGCTTCTTATCGTCTTTACCTTAAAATTAAAAACGGAATTTTAAAAATGGGCTTTTCCATAATTTACCAGTGGCCTGAAGGGTGTGGCACCAAAATTAGTGTCGAATTCTCTTTCCTCCACCTCCACCTCTTTCCTCCTTGTTCCACTGGCAAGCAATTCACTAGGCCTATACCTATTTTGAGGTTTAAAAAAACGATCCGATGAGCCTAGAAAATGAAATACGAAATTCCTAATGGATATTCTCAATCTTATAAAATGAAAATCTTTAAAAGCTGCTTAGATTTTTTTTATTTTATAACTGTAGCGAGAAGGTAGTTTATGCTTGGAAATTGACTGTTCTAAAATAAACACGATAAAGACTGCCAGTGAAACGAAATAGGAATTGTCAGCCTTTTGCCGGGATAGATCTGGGATCAAATTTGTTGTTAAAGTATCCAGTCTGGGGTCCGATTGGTTTTATATCTACAACTTTACATATATAAACACATAAATGTTGTGCTTTGAAGTTTAAAATCTCACAAGGGTTAGAGCATTCGGGACATATGATCAGTATGCTCTTTTACAACTGGGAGCCCCTTCACCCCTGCATCAAGGGATAATCAGTGGTGTAGATAGCGAAATTCATAGAAGAGGCAAAAAGTTTAGATCTTCTAACTAAAATCTAATAAGCTTTATCTAATAATCTTATAAGATTCAGTCAAATGTTAGTGTTCATATCGAAAGTTTGTTGTAAAAAATGAGTTGCCTACTAAAGGCCTTGGATAATAATAAAGGCACTATGAGAGTTTTTCCGTAGAACCACAACCTGCCAGTGGTTTGAAGCGAATTTTCAAAAAGAGGTTAACAAAAAAACTTTTTTAACTTTTGGCAGGGCAAATTTTTTTTTTCGCAGGGCAAAAAAGCAGTCACCCTCCCCCCCCCAAAAAAAGTGACGCCCCTGCACTGCAGTCCCTCTAATAGAAGGGGGAGGGAATAGAAGGGGGAGTACATGTCAGCCAATTGTCAATAGAAGGGGGGTGCTAATAGATGGGAGTATGCATGTCAACCAATTTTCAATAGCAAGGGGGTGCACGCTGGTAAATTATTTAATTATTTTCGAATTGGTTGAATTCGAAGGCTGCTCATTTTATTAAAGTCGCATCGTCTTTTTATTCATTTTTTGGCATGTTCTAGTCATGACCGATTTGTAAAATTTAATAAAATGGGGTGCTAATAAGTAATGGGGGGAGGGGAGATTGTCCTGAAATAATGGACGTGGGCCCGTCTATTCGAGACACAATAGCAGTATAGGTAGCAAATTACCGCTTCGAGACGCTTCCATTCTCCAAACATTCTGAGAGATGTATAACACTGGGACTTGATTTGCGAGGTAAATATTTCGTTCCAATCAAATCAAAATACAAGCGGAAAACGATGACTTTTTACTTCTATTCTTTCTGTTTTGGTTTTGTTAGGGGGCTGTTGATGTTCTTTGAAACTGTTGATCTTCTTTGCCGGCTTTAGTTCTAATGGTAGATTGTTCCATATTATGAGAAACAATTTTGCCCCATGTTACTCTTCCGAAAACGTTATTTTTTGATTTTCGAGTTATTCGGCTCTAGCCAACAGGTAAAAACATCTCAGACATGCAGTGGCGGAAATTCAGGCTTTCATTTGGGGAGGGGGGCCCAGGCCTACGATTTTCCGACAAGATAGCATCTTGGATCATGTCTAATTTTAAGGAAACTGCACAGTTCGATGAAAAAAGGCGACTATTGGGCGGGACCCTTAAGATGTCTTTGCTGACCACGCCATAATTAGATAGCAAGAAGAACAATCCATTTATGATATTTGATATCAAGATCGTGTAACGGTTTGGATTTTATGTTTTTTCAAATTAGTAAAGTTCCCATTGCATGTTAAAGTCACATGTTCTGTTAAGTCCTGTTGTGTTAATAAAGGCCTTTTTATGGCAATGTGTCTGTCTTTCAACATCCGTTTATGTTATTAGTATGTGTTGATCACGATATAAGTTAGTCTTTCTGTTGAATCATTAGAATTAAGATCAAGAAGGAGTATCTTTTGTGCGTTACTTGTTCGGGGCTTAGGCCCTTTGGCTTGGCCTAGCCCATCGCTCCACCAACGGGCTAGTTATACACCGGTTATTCACTGTCATAAGAAGAACCCTTGATCCTTACGATCGATATCTCATCAGGCAATTGATGATACAAGAAGTCGACGATTACACTTTTGACAAGTCGTTCATGATAACAACGTGATTGTAATTGTAACGTTCATTTTCTGCATTTTATCTTGCTTCAGTGGGGAATACGTTTGAAAAAAACTTAGTTGGAAGAATCCGATGAAAAGTTTGGCTAATATTAATGGAATTGAAATTAAATAGACATTTCGCAAGCAGTTTTGATTTTTGTCATATATTGTTTGTTTGATTATTTAGTACTGGCTAATATTTTATCAGCTATGTTCAAATTTTGCAAAAAGGTCACAAGAGTTGTTGTAGAGGCCCCGGGGGTAGAAAAGGAAAATGTGGATCACCTGCGAGCGAAGTGAGCGGAAAATTAGGCAAAAACGCCCCTTAGATTAGCTTAAAAATTTTTCTCAGAACGTTTTCTCGGAGTAATTTCGACATGTTGAACGGTTGTCAAATATCCGACGAAAGTCCAAATTTTCCGACGAGATCACTGATTTGGGGGGCCCGAGCCTCCCCATACCCCCATAATTTCCGCCACTGCACATGTAGGATGGAGCTGTACCATCAAAAAATTTGAGAACCTTTGCAGTTGTACATTGTTGAAATCTCCCTTTTGTGGGAAGCCAATTGATATTTTTGAGATTTTTGATTCCTACATGTGCTATGTTTTTCAGATTCAAACAAAACATGATACATTTATTTTGAGCAGTCTGAAATTTTTGGTTAATCTTTTATTTAACAATGGAAACCAAGCACTGCCTGTATAGTCAAAATAGGGCTGAATTAGAGCGTTTGCTAAAACTTTACCGATTCTTGGTTTAATGCAATCGATAGTCCCCAGAAACAAGGCATATAAGAAGCATTTCAAAAGTCGGGGGAACATGTATTGAGGGGCAAGTTTCTAAAGTTTAGATTTACAAAAACTTTTCGCCCTTTATGGAGTATTTCTTCATTTCATTCACAAACCAGATAAAGTATTCTAAAAGCAATACTTTAAATGCAGGGACGCCGGAAAGGGGGGCGCTGGGGGTCAACCGCCCCTGTTGCCTTTTGATAGGAGAGGCAAGGGTGGCTAAAGTGCCGTATTCATAGAAGTGCCCTTGACGCTGCCTTTTGTAGGAAATCCATGAGATTCATATGAAATTCTGACTGTAATGCCTTATTTATGATGACGACATTCCTCAAAACTTGTAAAAATAAATTCTTATGCCGAAATTTAGCCGATTTTTATAATACTGGCAGAAGATCAAAACAAAATGACAGTTATTTTTCAAATGCCCTTCTAATCAAGCCCGCCCCCTCGTTCCGGAGTCCCTGTTTGAATCCATCAAAAGCTGGTTCTTCAAATACGTACATTCATAAATTTCCAGGGTCTCTGTTATCAGGTTTGTTATAGTCCGATCCGGTTTCTTATAAAAAGCATGTATTGCGCAATCTACCTTGGACGAAAACAGCGCAAGACGAGCAGAAATTACCGCGCGGTAGATTTAATTTTGCGCGAAACGAGCCGAATGCACCGCGCGGTAAAAATCATTTTGCGCGAAACGAGCAAAATTCACCGCGCGAGTGATAAAAGTTACTAGTAAAACCGGAAGTTGAATAAAAATGCACTCGAAAAATCAGCACGCAGCGAGTAAAAGAGCACAGATCGAGAACACTTAAAAAAGATCTCAGCACTTTATCAGCTCGGCTTAGTGTCATGCTGTTTCAACAGGTCGCTCTTTTTTAAAATGGCACGCGTTTTTGCTCAACAGCAAGCAAAAGCAAAATCAGGCTCGAAAATGAAAAACCGAGCTCGAAAATGGAAAATCGGGCCTGAAAACGGGTAAAATGTTTTTGAAACGAATATTCCATCATAAAATCGGGCCCGAAAACGGGTAAAATGTTTTTGAACCGAATATTCCATCATAAATTTTGAGCATATTCAGTTGACTTTGCGTATTGAGAAGTCTTTTACGCTGTTCTTTCAGATTATGTGGTCGAAATTAAGAAATTCAAATAAAGATTTTGATGACGTCACACTTCGCTACTTTGTTGTATCGGAATTTACATACAGCTACATTTCTGTTGATTGTTACATTGCTGTTATCGATAAAGGGGTTGGTATGAGCCTGCCTCATTTCCATGTAGCTTATTATAAAAATATTTGCCAAATTTGCATGATAGACAGTATTTAGGGTCATGTATTCCACGCATCACTTTAATCACTAAAATAATCATATTAATCACAAATTAATCACTAGTGTTTAATAATCTCGAACTCTATTTTGAAAAGTGATTTGCCTCTTGATCGAGAAGGGGTCCTAATGCAGAGCTAAAACACAGACCCCCCAAATGAAAGTATGTCGGACCGTATGTCAGAGGTGCTATGAGGAAAACGTTGTTACTATGTTAGACAGTCTATTTAGTAAGACTCAAAGGTAAGATTCGAAAACAAACGGCCAAGTGTCACCTTGTTTTTCACTCTTTTTAACAGAGCAAGAGCAAAGGATAATTTTTAGTGGATTTAATTCTCGGTTACACTGGGAGTGAATTGTACGCGTTTTGAACTGCGAACGGTGAGTTTTTCTGTTTAAATGACTTGTGTCAACCACACGAAGTCGTACGAAGCCTATAATTGTTTAACCGTAAAAAATAGATAACACTACACGGATTGAACTTAAAAGAAAGGCTGAAGCTAACACTGAAGTAAAGTAAATAAACAAACCTTCGTTGACTTTGACTCTGCCTCGCACAAACGAAGCCAGCAGTCAGCAACAGGGAAAGACCAGATTCAAATGTGAACGGGTGATTATCTGTGGTTCAGCAAATAACTGATTCAAACAAAAGAAAATTTCAAAGAGAGAATTTGCCCCTACTGTTTCGATTCAAATACATCACTAGCTCACTGAATCGAATCCCTGGAAATGAGATTAATTCTTCCGATTTCTAAGAACTGTTTTCTAAAGGCCGAAACACAAACTAAATCAGAAAATTGGATTGGCTTCATAAAAGTCAAAACAAGAGCCAAATATCCAAGTAATAAATCAATATTCAAGTATCCAGGAAGACAAAAAATTTTCATCTCTAAGAAATGGGGCTTAACAAAATGGGAACGTGATGAGTACCTCAGTAGAAGTAATGATGGGACTTTGATGCCAGATGGTGTGCATTCAAAGTATCTTTAAGGAGGCTTTTGATAGTACACTTACAGAAACAGTAAAATGACTATAAAATGAAATCCATCCAATGTAGCTCCTTAAAATTTAGCACACATTTGATTCTCTTTGTTTGAAATATTTTGAGCAAAAATTTTGGGAAAAAAATTATAATGGTTTCCATGGAAACATAAGAAAAAGGGTATCAAATTGCAATGATTTAGTGCAGATATTTAAGCTTAATAAAACAATATAAATGTGAAATTTTGCACAAACATCACTTATACCATTAGGAATGCAATAAGTAGAGTATATTTTGATATTTCATTTTTGGGGGCAAAATACCCCGAAAAAGACTGTTTCCATGGCAACTACCACCAACTGTGACAGATTTCAAAATCCTCTACTTATTGCATAGTTTAATCTTTACTACATATATTCCAAAAGTTTCAGCTGGTTTCACAAAACAGCTTGAGAAATACAAATGTTTTTGTAACAGAAGTGCTGAAATTTCACGTTTTGAGAAAAACGGCATTAAAAATAAAGTTGTAAATCTGGCGAAGTTTGGCCTTTGCAAGTAATATGGGGTACTTAGCTTCATTTTTTATTACAGCTGCTTGAAGCTTACTCATTACTGCAAAAATATCTGCAATTAATCTACAAATCAAGCATACTTTTTTGGTTTAGTTTATCTCTTCTTCTTTCTCTCTACAGTGACAAAAATGTCTTTTTCATCACAAAATGTTATATTGGGGACTTCTGTTTTCTTTGTTACTGAATAAGGTCTTTTCCTGCTCTGCTTTTTTTGGCACATTTCTCAACCTCTGGCTCAACTTCTAAGCCAAAAGCACCTGGTTTATAGAAGGTTTCACTTGGCTTTCCCTGGATTCTTTTCTTTTTCATTCGTAATTCTTTTCTGCGTGCTTTGAATTCTGCGCTAGACTTTCTTTTCATATTCTCTATTCTTCTTTTGTTCTCCTTTCGAAAAAAATTAAGGGTTTGAGAACCCAAGTCTGTTACCCCCAGACTCTGCATCAGCATTGCTTTGCATGCAGTACCTGTATTAAAAACAGATACAGCTTCACAAACAGCAATTGTCACTCGTTTTACACCACAGTACTTTGTCTTAGGGCATCAATTTGTCCAAAGTTGACCATTCAGGCTCTCATTTTAGTTTTGTGTAAGGCCTCTTAAACATCTATTTAATAGTTCATCCTGGGACAATCTGTCAAAAATTGGTTTCAACTCTTCATGAAAAACAGCAGGAAGGCAATTCTCTTGATTGTATTTACCATCACCGAAAATCTTCTCTCTCTAATACTTGCACCATGTTGCTTCTTCCTGTGGGCAGTACTGGTGCTGCTGCTCAAGAGAAAGTTTTTCTGACTTTACAATGTGGTGCTGAATTGCCATTATGCTGTTCTTCATACCATCCTTGTTCCCTGCATTTCTTCTGATAGCCAAACCATAATAGTTTTGAATGCTATCAATTGCAGCTTTTGTCAATCTACCTTTACCCCCGACAGGTTTTCCATCTGGAAGCATTTCTTTCTTCATCCTTCTTTTATATTCTCTGAGTGATGTACCAATTCGCTTTTGGACATGGCCAACACATTCTTCCTTTAAAACTGAATAATCATCCCCATATTTGACTTGCAATGCCTCTTTTACTTTTCCAAAAGTACTACTGTCCCCATCTCCAATAAACTCTGTATATTTCAAAAACCATTTTTTTCAATACTTCTTGTAAATATTTCAACAGCACCATCCACTTCCATGTTTCCCGAAGCTCCCTCATGATTAATGTGACAATGCCCTACATGCTTTTGATGCCAATTTTTGTACTTAGCTGTGTCTTTATCATCTTTTTCATGACTTTTACACTCATGGCAAAATAAGGATTTGATGACATAATCCAGCACTTGACCAGTCCTGACAGATATCACAAAAACTACTCCAACTCTTGATGAGTGGCCTCTCTTCTGCCAAGTTCCATCAACTGTCACTGCAACTTTTGCAACCTTTTTACCATCTTGCATCATTTCAATTTTTGTTGGCTCTTCCTCTTCAACTATCTTGAAAAGCTGCTCAGCTGCCTCTGACATAACTTTCTCTGCAATTGTAACTGATTTGCAAGCAAGTTTCTTTATTTGTTGATTGTATGATCTGCTTGACAATGGTGGAGGTAAGCCCATACCTCCACAAAACTTTTCTAGCCTTGCTGCACGGCCTCATTGGTATGATGAAATTACTGACCGAATATTTACTTCTAATGTACCCCTGCCTTTAGTACTAACGTGTTTGCTTGTGGGAATTGCTGTCTGAAATCCACAATGTTTGCAAAATATGGTAAGGCTTTCAGCAAGGCCTTCTCTCTTCGTTTCATCCACAACAATTTCAATCTTTGTCTCCTTGTTTTCACAATTCCTACACAAAAATGCAGTTGCCATGGAATGTTCGAGTAATTCCGCATCAAAAAGTTTAAAGCCTTTTGCTTGATGCATTTCCTCAGTTCTCAATGCAAGTTCTAGAGATTTATACCTTGTAATTGTGCCATGACTCTCCTCGATTTCACTAAAGGACGAGTTACCCAACTTTTCAAATGATTTGTTTAGTGTCTCATCGACCTCTGCTTGATTACTCGGTCCGGGCCTAGGCTCATCGACTAAATCAGCAGCTCCATCAACCGTTTCTAAATCTGCTACTGCTGCATCTTGCGGTCTTGTTCCAAAAAAGCCTCTCCTTTTCTTCCTTTTGATAGTACGGAACTTCATTTTGCTCTCCGAATAAAAATTTACAGAATAGAATAGGCAATTTCAAACATAAACTCTCGTCTCGATGTTGCCAAGTGCTTGAAAACCAGTGTCCGATGGGATATCAAGCAGAGCCTTATGGGATATCATTCATTGGAAAGCACGGAATGGACCTTTAGAGTCAGATATCATAGTAGAAAAACGAGAAGGGGTGAACTAGCAAGAAATCGTCCCTAGCAACGAAAAATATTGGTTGCTAAGGGAGAAAAACTCTACTTGCGACATTTCAAATGACAAATTAAATCACTTTGGGGGACTATACATTAACAAGATGCAGTTTTTACATAAGATGAAAGGTGTATCTGTCAAAATATGTATATTTTGAAATTTCTTAAAATTTTCACATTTGCTTCAAAATTGAATATCAACTTCCGATTTCTAAGAACTATTTTCTAAAGGCCGAAACACAAACTAAATCAGAAAATTGGATTGGCTTCATAAAAGTCAAAACAAGAGCCAAATATCCAAGTAATAAATCAATATTCAAGTATCCAGGAAGACAAAAAATTTTCATCTCTAAGAAATGGGGCTTAACAAAATGGGAACGTGATGAGTACCTCAGTAGAAGTAATGATGGGACTTTGATGCCAGATGGTGTGCATTCAAAAGATCTTTAAGCACAAAACTAAGGGTCCCCAAACAGTTAGGCCTCGGAGGGACCCTCAAGATGTTGCTCCAAAAAACGGGTTTTGGATTAAAGCATTTGTTGCCTAACAGCATTCACAGTATCATTGATTTGTGAGCAACCACATGAAGTTGTAAGATAAATCATGTTGCTTCTAATGCACATCTATATCGTTATAAAATTTTGCTTTTAATTCATGGGGATATCACAGATATCTAAAATCGAATTTTACCGAAACCCATAAGAAAAATTCCCTGTTTTTTGAAAAAGCAAAGATCAACATCTTCCAAGCTCAAGTCTCCTTCTGCAAGGAGAAATGGCCGAAGACAATGAGCCCTGTCTTTGATGAATCTTCTGAAACCTCTGAAAAGAACAACAAAGGTGCGAGTCAGGCTACAACTCAAGTAAAATCAGCATTTTCCAGCTGATCGTGGTCATTTTTGTGAAGATGTTTTTAATGCCCATCTTAAGAATTTAATTTACAGCATTCGAGGACATAAAAAAAGATGGATCTGTGTCTGCAAATTTTACTGCTAGTTGTTATAATAAACACTTCAGGAAAACCCCAAAAAGTGAGGCTAAAAATTGACCCAAATTTAGTTCAGTATAGGGACCCCAAAACACTGCAGTAACAATCCAAAGTTGCATTAGAGTAAATCTTCCAAAAATTTTCTACCTATCATTGCAAAAAAGTGAGGGGGGGGGGCTATAGCCCCTGCTGGCCCAATGGCTGCGCGGTGCCGGCTTCTACCCCGTGGCGCACTCAGTGCATGGAAGCGCAGGGTTGAAATCAGTGCTTAGTTGTAAATCAATGTGAAAAGCAGTTGAATTAATTCAAAAGTCAGGGGGCTGAGCAGCCTTCGAAGGAAGTTGAGATAGGGGCTCGGGGCTTGCCCCTAAATAGAATTGTCGAAACCACGCCCTTACGAACGATGGAAGACGCCCTTTTCAAAAGAGCTATCAACCGTTCTATGAAACTAGCTCTAGGCCTAGCCTTTTATGTTTCTTTTTTCTAGACTTCTTTATTCTTTTGATAACATGGTAGCGCGAAAATCGGCAGTCTGTCCCCTCAATGATTGGCTGATATGATTGGCAATTAGTCTTCTCGCCTTAACAGATTACGCTCCTCGCTTTAACTAGCCTAGCTGCGGTAGCGGAGAACATTTGTAACGGTTTGGATTTTATATTTATTAAACTTAAAAATGTTCTTCCGTTTATGTTATTAGTATGTGTTGATCACGATATAAGTTAGTCTTTCTGTTGAATCATTAGAGTTAAGATCAAGAAGGAGTATCTTTTGTGCGTTACTTGTTCGGGGCTTAGGCCCTTTGGCCTAGCCCATCGTTCCATCAACGAGCTGGTTATCAACGGGCTATTCACCGTCATAACAAGAACCCTGATCGTTACACATTTGAAACTGCGAGCAAAAAGGGATCGGAAATGGCAAGAAGATTTAATTACTAGAATTGAATGATAATGGAAGCATTTCCTTTCGCTGTTGACATATCTGTCGCACAAACCAAACGAAAATGGAACCACATTTTTCTAGCCACAGCTTCAATTCAACAGGAACACAGCCATTTGCTTCAAAAGCTCTGGAATCAAAGTTGTCTCTGATTGGTTTAAATCGTTTAATTATCCATCAAGCTCAACTGTGCGTGAATTTCACTCCCATGAAAAAAAGTTGAGCACAATAGGGGACAGACTGCCTTTAAGTAGTTCCTTTGATTTCAATACAGCAAGTTTGAACAGAAAATTTTTTAAATTATTTGACACATGTATAACATACAATAAATACGAGTTTGACTGGAAATGTAGGAGCCAGCTTCTCGGTACAGAAAAAGACATCAACAGAAGAAAGATACTAGCAATTGATGCTTGCAAAACGCCCAACAGCATTTTCAGCAGCAAGAAAAACTCCATCAAGATCAAACTGAGAACTTTTAATGCCTATATAGCAAGTGTATTTTTGTATAATAGCGAACTGTGGACACTAACGAAGAAGCTAGAAAACACCATCGACACCTTCCGACGTAGACACCTAAGACCTCTCCTAGGAATTAACTGGCAAAGAAATATCACCAACAATGAGCTCTATGCCAGAACGAAATGTGAACCATGGAGTGAAATAATAAGAGAAAGGAGACTAACATGGCTAGGACATCTCATGCGCTTGCATCCAGAAGCACCAGCAAGGAAAACCCTTAAAGAATATCACAGGAAAGTAAAACGGCCACAAGGAAGACCAAAGGCGACCTAGATGCAGACAGTAAGGCAAGATCTGGCCAGCATCGGAATTAAACTGGATCTCTCAAAAGAAACGCAAACATTGAATAGATTATCTGAACTGACAAAGGACAGAAAGAACTGGCGTGGCATTGTGAGACGCGTCGTGCAGTATTAACTGCTTGTGACGTCTTAGTAGTAGTAATTTACCGATTGTCTGGCGAAAGGGCAAATTATGTTTCAGGATCTTGATCATACTTTTCTTTAGTTATAAATAAACAAAGTTTAAAGCCAGGAATGGTTTTAAAATACGAAAGGCCTCTTGACCTGACGCAAATAAAATCATTCTTAAATATTCTTTGATTTCGAGAAGGTATATACCCAGAAAAGTGGGGAATTGGTGCTTAAGGAAAAGGTGTGCCAAAAACAATTGACAATTTGGCGATAGCCACTGAAGATAAAATGAGTACAGTGGTAAAAGCGGTTTGTGGAAGACTCGCAGGAGTTCTGTGTCAATGTGGGCATTTGCTATAGAAAAGCTAAAGAGATCTGGGGGCTACTATTCACAGATGACGTAGCTACCATGCCCAACTGAAAGGGGCAACTAAAGGAAAACGGCTAGTAGAATGACTGACGAGTTATAAGAATTTGAAAGAACGGAAAAATTTGATATCAGCTCGAAGGCTTTGAGAACAGAATGCAGTTCAAAGCGACTTTAGCGCTGGGAGTGTTGATCTAAAGAAGGGGTATAAGATCTTGAAAGTACGGCAAAATAGAACTAAATATTTCTTCAAAGCGTGTTGTCTGGTGGAGCTTCGAGCTTTGACTGTCTCCTTCGGTTAGAACATAATTTTTTATTGTAGCTACTGTGGCGACCAAGGTACAATTTATTCGTTTACTCAGCAGTTGTACGAGTCTACATTCCAAAAGAAACGCATTCATTGAAGCCTTTTAAAATAAACTCGTTGAAGCCTTTCAAAATAAATATTTTGCCTACATCTTCCAAATGAGTCTTTCACAGTTTTACTCGTGCGCCATTAGACAATATGCTTGATGTCGCGGACTTAAAATGCTACAAGAATAAATAATCTGCTTGATTCTGCATTTTAATGACCCAAAAATCAGAAAAAGAACATAAATTAAAATGATTGTGTAAACAGTGTTTGGTCTAGAATTCCAGCTCGAAATAAATTGTTAGATACAGCAACTCCAAGAACTAAAGTATGAAAATTCGCTCGATATATTTTACGTTTAAAATTCACTGCTTAAACAACCTACAAAATATTTACCACAATCAAGGAATACAAAAACTATAAAACTTGGTTTATTTTATAAGTTGTTAAATGTTGACAATAGTGAAAATAATTACTGACAAATTCCCCCATGATCACCCAATCGAAAACAAACAACTGAAGTATGAATTGTTCTGAAAAAGTTATGATCAAGTTATAACACAGAAAAGAAATTATCTCTTTTCTGTGGTTATAATCTTTGAACTGAAATAAACACGATCAACAACATGATAATCATGTGATTAACATAATCGTGATTATTATGTTCATCTAACTACCCTACTGATATTCATAATGAAATCTCAAGAATACTTGAAAATTACCGACTACTATAAAAGTGGAGGTATTTGAGAATATTAGCGGGCAATGGATCCTATTCGCTTCCGGGTTAAATATGATCTACGATGCATCTTGATTGGCAAGACTATTCCGAACCTGCGTGGGATTTCTGCATGTGTTTCCCTAAAGCACTGCTGCAAATAAACGTTTTCTTACAAATTTTGCATGGATAAGGCCTCTCCCCAGTGTGAATCCTCGTGTGGATATTAAATGAACCAGAATGAAGGAAGGCTTTCCCGCAGACGTCACACTTGTACGGCTTATCTCCAGTGTGAATTTTTTGATGCTCTTTTAAATTCCTTTTGCTTTTAAACGATTTTGTGCATATGGAGCAATGTACGCGTTCACGCGGTACAACGGGCTTTACATTGTCCTTTTCTTTTTTGGGTTGCAATTCCTCATGCTTGTTTTCCCAGTGTAGCTTCAGGTGGCTAGCTCTTACAAAATCTCTATCACAGGCCTCACATTTGAATGGCCTTAAACCAGTATGAACTTGCATGTGACGGTTGACATCGCCTCGTCTCCTGAATGGAACGTTGCACACTTCACAAATGTACGGCTTCAGTCCCAGGTGAGTGGTCAAGTGCATCTTCAGGTCTCCGTTTTGTTTGAACGACGCGCCACATTCTTCACATTTGAATGGCCTAAAACGAAAGGACGCATCAACGCAACGTTTATTTTGCAATGATAAAAATCCATCTTCAATAAACAAGCCATAGCAGCCTCCTAATCAATTAATTCCAAGTGTAGATACCCTGCAGAGTAAAACCAGGCTAGTTTAACTCGGGACAAAGCCGGGTTACTTAAAGAGGCACCAACACAAAAAAAATTGATATCGCCAAAAAACATTTTTCGTCGTTCTAGTTTGGTATGTGAACAGCGAAGACTATCGCAAAATGGCTCAATGTTGCCTGGAATACAGAAAGGGGGTCTAATTTAGGGGAACAGAGTTGAAGCGAGCAAGGGTACGAGTGCCTGCGAGTGCGGGTCGTCTGGAGGCCGATACCGGAAGATTTAAACGAGCGCGTCATTGCCATCACGCTAGCTGAAAATTGAAAACAAACCAATTTTGAACGAACATTGCGCAAAAAGGATGAAAGAGGAAAACACGTTTTCTATTCCAGGGCCCCCGCCATGGATTTCAAAGTGGGTGGCCAAAAAATAGAATAATTTTCCTAAAAATGTCGCCCATAAAATTTTAGTTTCCAGAGTCTCTAGAATGGCCTCTAAATCGATTTCTGAGGATAATTCTCATTAGAAATTTCCATTTTACTAAATGTGAAATGTTGTGAAAAACGCAAATTGTCTAAGAGAATTTTGGTTATATCTCGAATGTTATAACAAGGAAAGTGGTCCAGAAGTGTTATGGCACAGTTACAATTCTGATAATGGAAACTGTTTCTATAACGGTAACACAACTCGCTTAAAGAAGATTTACTGCATGCTCGTAAGTTGACACAGTTATAAAAAGTCATGTAATAAACAATGAAGTCAACAAAGAATACATCTGGCAAAATGCTAAGTAAAGTCGGCAATAACCATAGAACTATTCTGAGAAATGATGCTAATAGGTTATTTTTCTGACTTTCAAAAGGAATTTGCCAGCTCGAGTATATGTTTGCAGTTACAAGTCACCAGTTGAAAATCGTCAAAAATGGCTGTAACCCTTCTCATGTCCTGAAACGAATATGTTTGCTACTACTGTTCAGTCTAAATCATTAGTAATATCATAATGCGATGTCAATATTGCCAATGAGTTGAACCTTGTTTGTTTCATGGTGGCTCGTAGTCATGATTTTACCATCCGCACCACTACTAGCAAAAGCTTGACTATTTCTTGACTATAATCCGACGGGATTATAAGCAAATTACCCAATTTATCAATTCATACATAAATTTTTAAGATAAAGCATAAGGAGGGCGCGTCACAATTATTGTTTTCATTTTAAATTGCCTCATTTTTTTGCTTAGCAGAAAAGTGGGGAAGGGGCTATAGCCCCACCAGCCCCGCCCCTTTGGCGGGGCCCTGTATTCTGAACAAGCTCTCGCCAGTGTGGGTTAGCAAGTAGTATAATTCTATCATACATAGGTTTGAATACAATTATCTAACACCTAGTAGGCCTAGAAGAGGTTGGTTGGGAGCGGTTCGAAACTTTATTTTTGATTGATTTAATTCTCTCTTGGTTATATCATATCAACGTGAGCAGCCATTACCGCCAGGCAAAAGCTTGCCTTGTGCCAAGAAATCTCCATCGACCGAGAGCTTTCACGATTATTTTCGGAATTCAATCGATTATTTGTTGATGACCATCGGACCGTAAAAATGCTAGGTTACCAAAAATACAATCGTACTGGTTTCTCTCGCTTGTTTCTCGCAACTTGAATGTGATACAAAACATAAAAAACAATTTTTCGGTAGAACTTTTGCCCCCACTTCATATGACCAAAATCTGTTTGCAATTTTCGAAATCGATATATTGCGTTGGTGCCTTTTTAAACCAAATGTAAACCCTGGTTAGTTTAACCAAGTGCAAATTTCTAAAAGTTCTAATTGCATCGTAGGTAATGGACATAAGTTAGCTCCTTTCAGTAATTGAAATGCCTACTTTAAACAGATAAATAAATAAAAAGATAAATAAATCAACAGATAAACTAAAAAACGGATTATTTTGGTTAATTTGAATAGGCTCAGGACGTTAGAGTCATTCGCTTTGGTTCACTCTTACCTCTCTCCTGTGTGAATTCTGAGATGAACGCGAACACTTTGCTTGCGAGTAAATTTCTTGTTACAGATCCGACAGAAAAGGTCTTCGTAATCAGAATCCGAAGTATTCCTTTTTAATGAACGTATACTTTTGGTCAGGCTTCTGGATTTGTTCCCACTATTTTTTATTGATAATCCTTCGCTGCTCTTCGAGTCGCTTTCATTAGGCCAGTCAGATTCAGAGAATTCGTCAGTTACACAATAGTCTGGGTCTTTGTCAGGACTTTCATTATTGTGTTCCGTTTCAGAAATGTCTTCATCGGAAATAAATTCCTCATCTATGTCTTTGATGACTTCGCCAGATTCCTTAAACATAAAATATCGCTGTCTGAAAATATGAAAGATATAAAAAAAACAGAAAACATTTCGATGACTGTTCCAAAAATTGATATTCACCTCATCTCAAGTAGAACTTTGCTTCTAAAGAGAGCGGAGCAGCTTGACCAATCATGTTAGTTTTTGATTAGAAAATTGCACCATAGATAAAATCACTTTTCCAAAAACGGTTTACTTCTTTGAAACACAAGATAAAAGCAAAGTGCGTCTATCAAAAGTTACTTTTAACAGAAAAAAACTCAACATAAGTAAAAATAAGATAAGCCTATTTAAACCTACTTAACTCGAAAATTAATTTTATTTCCAAAACAGTTCAATTTTCGCTCAATATCTCGTAATTAGTAATAAATGTACAGAAATGCAAGCTCGAGAATTTATGATAATTTATTAAGATTTAAGACTTTTATGGATTACTACACTGACAAAAAAGGTCACAGCTAAACTTTAAACATACAAAGATATAATTAGCCCATTGAAGTCTGACAATGGTATTTCTTCCTATAGTCATTAAACTTTTGCATAAAGACAAGAAAATAAATACAGTTTATTTTCTTACTCGGGAATAAAATACAAATACAAAATGAAGGACAAATTAAAAGCGCCCCCTTAAAAACATGCCACAGACATTAGAGGGTCACCCATCAGTCTACGTTCCCACATCATCGAGAGCAAGTTGGACCGTTTGCAGATCGCTCAATCTACCATAAATCACTAAAAGGAAGGGGTTAAGGGAAGTTGCACAATAACCCCCGAATCTGATTGATAATTGGCAGGGAATGGGCAAGAAAGGCCTCAGTTCCTCACTAATAGCCGATGCACCAGTCCTACCTAATAGCATAAAGTCAAAAAAAGCGCTAAACAGCATAAAAGATGCCTAAAGGTATGAGGGGTTTTAACGATGCCAAAAAAGAAACTCAACACGCAAACCTATACTGAAAAGGCATTTTGCATAAAGAAACAAAATGAGCGAAGGGGGGGGGGCTGGGAAAATACAATAAAACAGCCTAGTTGTATTGTGGCTTCACCAAGCAAGGTGAGACCCGCGCTATGCCAAAACCTTAAATACTCCTATTAACCAAGGAAATGAAAACGCCACAAAAAACACATCTTAACCTAGTTTTATAAGTCAAATCCTTAGAAGACCGAAAGACTCCCTGCATTGCCAATAAACTAGTAGAGGAGATACAAGAGAAACGTGACAATGCGTGACCCAAAAGACAGGGTCTTTTTTAACATACTAACTAGATGGGCAATTGACCATGATTATTACCGAATGGACGCAAAATAGTGTCATAACCCATTGTAAATCCACCTGTCATTCAAATTGCGGAATTGTTATAATTTCTGTTGAATTCTCGTCTGAATAAAAAAGATTTTTGCTATAATAAATCCTTCCCAAGCAGACACAGTTCATGGAAAAACGTTTTCAATATAATGTTGTGATAACTCATGACATGCTAATGAAAGATCAGTGGTGCAGCCAGCAAACCACAACTAGAGGGCGCAGATTAATGCATGATGGAAAGATGGGTACAGGGAATCACAACTAATCTTTCCTACTGTGTGTTTTTTCCTTAGATTTTATGTGGACCATTTTGAGCCTCCCTAACTCCCATTTGTTATGCCACATGAAAGGCTAACGTGGTTATTAGCGAAAATTTGTGAGGAAATAAATGTGCCAAATCACTTCCTGCTATTTGATACAATTTGATGGTCTGGTTGAAATGCACTTCTGTGACATGATCTTTGATGGTTCTAGACCTCCAGTGAAATATCTGCATTAATAATGTTAAATCTCAATAGATTTTCATTTGGCCCCCAATTAACTTTCCTATCTACTTCCCCTCTGTATGTTAGGTAGGCCTTCTTAGGAATGAAGGGCCTTTTCTAGGATTTGACAGAAACACTGAAGAACTTGAATAAACCAAAACTTTATTACAGAAGGTGCTAGAATTTTGCTTTGATGTATGTGAGCATAAGCAAAGACAGAAATACATGTGCCTCAAACTAGGCCTGCAAAATAATGTCTGCAAACCTTTTTAATTGCGAGTTTCGCTTCCAGGTGTTCCTCAAGATGTAGCTGAAGTTGATGATAAGTAGAAAATACCAACGATGGGCAAAACTGGCAACCATAGAGATCCTTTTCAAGCAGCTCAACCTCTTCTTGCTTGATGGACAAAACTTCTGTCTTTGTGCAATCAGTTACCACATAGGATTCGTATTGTTGGCCTTCAAACATTTTGCTTGCAAGATACCATGCTAATTGAAAAAAAAAGTTTTATAAATTGAGATAATATAAATACAAGAAATGCCAGAAATCAAGATTAAGGTATGCCAGAACAGTAAATCTGTTTCCTAATGGCAGGCTTCAAATATTACACAAAAGTAATGAAAGAATATGTAAAAAGTTTAACATTTCAGTGGGTTTGGGTTTTGTACACTCTCATTATTTGGAAAAGCTGCAAAACAACATTAAGAGACAAACAAATGTCTCAAGACAAACCCACTTTGTTTTCAAGAAAAATTTTCAATGTCAATGCCTTATAATCACAGCCAGTGTGGCGGCACTCATAATACCACTTCTTTGTATTGATCTTATCTGTCTCTAAACATTTGTGCAGTCATAAAATCACAAAATAGCCACCCTCATAGTTTTCAAATACTATGATCATTGAGGGCTTGACCTTTTGTTTTATGAACAGCTTTATGATACAGATTTTTAGGAGAAAGAATGCTTTGCTTGCCCTGTTTTATTATAGGAGAATTGCCAAAGGTTGAATTTTCTCTATTTTGCAAAAAACCCAAACTTTTTAAAGTAAATTTTCTTCCGTTGATTGGTCTTGTTATAGAGAGTCCCTTACTCCTAGACAGGAGACCCCTCAGCATGAGTAGGATTTGTGCAACAGCTTGTGTGACAGCTGTTGGTTAGTTTCATTATGTGATACCTGAACAGCTCTTACTTATAGCCACTGCATAAAAAGAAATACAATTCTATTAAAGTGAGGGATAGCTAAGTTTCAAATGAAGCCAACATCGAAAGTGTTTGTGTTTTATGCTGAAGGATAAAATGTGCTGTTTTTAGAGAATCATTCCTATTAATCCTCTTCAGTGCTACATATCCAAATAAGGCTGTCAGCAAATATGAATAAAGATACAACCAGTTAATGTCTTGTTTGTATGTCAGCAAGTTCAAGTTAACATTGTGTTAGACATATCTTAACAAGCTTGATAAAATGATTAAAATTAGATTCCCTTATTAAAAAGCCAAAAGGGGTTTGGAGCAAAATTGAAAAAATATATATTTAAGGTTCAAAAAAGTTTCTTATTTGTGAGTTCTTATTTCATGTCTAAAAATCCTTTAATTTTCTTAGTACTTTACTGTTAGCTTGTGAAATTTTTAGGCCAATAAAAGAGGGGGGGGGGGGGTTGTAGGGCGATTCCTCGGGGTGCATTCCATGTACTTTAGCCCAAAGATCTTTGGAGCACACTCAAGTTTTTTTTCAGCGTTTGGCATGCAAACCAAACATTTTTGGCATGCCTAAAATGTTTGTTAGTCAATTACAGAGTTACATAAAATAAACATAAAATAACGACATCAAATAAAATGAAGTTTTCTTTGTCTGGTGCAACAATTTTTACAGGTTTATGAACCTCTCATATATTTGGGGTACGTAAACAAGAGCCCTGGTGGACCTTTGGCGTACAGTTGACATGAAATGCATCCCGATCAATTCCTGACCCCATGGAATCTATGCCCAACTGTATCTCCCTGTCAGCTACCCCTGATTACAGCTGGTTTCGTATGATGCCCTCGAAGACACCAACAGTTATGAATGTATACTACTGAAGAATAAAGGGACATGCAACAATTTTTAGACATTATAGGAGAGTTCATCCCTTTTCAGATTCTGAATTTCGACCAAATATTCTACTTACAGCCAGTTTTGATTCCACTAAACTTGTTCCTGAACATGCTCACCTGCTCAGAGCTACACATTACATAATCCTATCTTGTCAGACATGCCATCTTACAAATAAAATGGTATGTCAAAAAAAGTTCCTGATATTAGTTGTATGTGGTGGAATTTAAAATAAGATAGAAAGTAAAATATAAACAAAGTCGTTGTTTTACATGAAGCCTTCGGCACAGGAGCTGTCCTATGACAACTCTATAGGCTGCTTTGATCACCGCCCTCGCTCTCTTCGGATGATAGGTTATTAGGCCATCATGTTGGGGGATCAACAACTTGGGTTGCACGGTATTTTTTCGGCTCGTTTGACAGATAATTTCTACTCATCAGTTTGAGTTGATTACTAGCACATACCTTGCAAAATTCATAAGCAAATACATACAACGAGAACTTTCGAATTATGTCATTAACAAATATCTGACAGTCATTTCAAGTCAAGTCCACAAAAGACCTCACCCAAATTTCACCCATAATAAACAAGTGCTTCAGAACCATAGAAGCAGCCTGCACTGGCAAAAATGAAGTGAAAATATAGGAAAGTACAGAATGTAATTACCTCATTTATAAACAAGAGAGGTAAATAGTGATCGAAAATGTAACAGCTGACAATTACCAGGTGTCGACCAAAAAATGATCAACCAACTTTGAATTGAATAAACAACAACAGCAACAAATCGCGTGATGACTTCACAGGCGCTTCAGTGGGCGCTTCTTGATGTGGCAGGCAGGGACGTCACTTCACTAATTTTTTGGGGGGGTGTAAACACTATTGCCCTGCAAAATTTTTCCTGTAAAACAAGTATAGATGTACTGTACTTATGCATATATTACATAAGTACATATATTATTTTCAAAAAGCAACACAAACCAACAATCGCAATAAAAAAAGTCAATAATTAGTCTACTTTCACACTAATTTACTTAATTGAAATTCTTCTCATTTTTTTTCATGCCATACTTTTAATACTTTATCAAGTGGGATAGTGTCTGTTAGGTCTTTCTCACAAGCAAGTAGAATGAGATAATTCAATCGTTCATCTTTCATCCTTGATCGCAGCAAATTTTTAACAATCTTAAGTTTGCTAAAGGTTCGCTCGTCTTTAGCCACAGACACAGGTGCTGTAAGAAGAAGGCTGTAGCATTTGTAAACCGTTGGGAAAAGTCGTCTGTTTTCAAATTAAAGTTGGCAGCCTCATTGACGGAAGTTGGCTAGATCAGTTGCTGTTCAATCATTGACCTGAAAACATCTAGCTTCAATATGAAAGCCTGGTGGGAAAAGCTTTCGAAGATCGTGTGGACTGTTTCTGGGTTTATCGTTTTGAGTGGTGGCTGCAACGCCATTGCCAATGGCTCAATTTTTTTTAAGCATGCCTTGATATTTTCACCATACTCTGCTATCAGAGAATCGAGAACAACACACATTTCTGTTCTGTAGAAGGAATTAAATTTAAATTCCGCTGATGTTTCTGGACCGTTGTCAATCTTTCTTGGCTGCAACCTGAGTCGATATTTCCACTAAACTCAGCCGCTGAATCTATTCCATGCTGTTTAGCGCACTCGTTTAGAGCATCCAAATCTTCATCCATAGCCTTGTTATCAATGCGAATCTTCTTAAGATTTTCTACTGTTGCTTCAATTAACTTCATCGCATCTAGGATGTTAAGCTCTTCTGCTTGGAGTTGCATCGTCAAAATCTTTGTTTTCTTCATAATTAATCTCATGAACATCAGTGCAAAAAGAAAGTCAAATGACAGACACTTTTTCTTTATGTCTTTACCCTTCACTTTTACCCTTCATTTCTGTGCTGTCGTCACTGACAACAACTTTTTCAATTGCTTTGAGTGTGCTTTGTAAACTTCGCCACACTGCTTCCATCGACTCTGAAGAGTAGACCCATCTCGTTTTAGACATGTTGCGGAGTTTCAAGGAGTACTCATCAACTTCTTGAACTTCTTTATTGTAAATTTTGTTTCGTTTGGAGCTGGCACTGAAGAAAACATATATATCTTGAAAATTATCGTATATCGACGTAATTATGGCACTTTGTTTTGCACAATGCTCTTTGAAAGTATCAGATCGATGCCCTTGACATGGAATGTACGGGACTGGTCTTTCAAGAATATCTTGTAGAACCCTCTGTGCCCCTGCAATTCTCCCAGACATATTATTTACGAAATCGTATGTTTGGAAGCAGAGATAATTCACATTAATTTCATTTGCTTCCAGACACTTGAGAATACATTCTGCTGTCTTATCTCCATGTTTGTCATTGCACTCTTTCATTTCCACGACTCTCTCGCGCGCAATTTCATTTTCACCAATATATCTTGCAGCCACAACCATTTGATCCGTATTGCTAACATCGGGTGTTGTATCGGCCGAAACCGACAACATTTTAGCACACTCAATCTCATCTTTTATTCTTTCTCTAACATTCTCCCCCAAGATCTCTAAAAGTTCATTTTGTGAACTAGAATCATGTATTTCGTACTGAAAGGCTTCAATCGTTTGCTATCAAGCCATTCTTTCATCTGTAGACAGTGCCTGGACAACTGGACAAGATTCACAAACTGGACAAAATTGCCGTTCTGGTCTCCTGCGGAGCCTCTGAAAGCAATTCCTTGCCTTGCCAATGTTCTAGCAATATCAAACAAAATGTTCATTATCGATTTGCATTTATCTTCGTCAGCCTTCTCCTGAATGATGATGCCCTTCAGATGCCTATTCATTTGAATGTCAATTTGTCCTTGTTCGACTGAAAACCTAGCAAAATCAGCCAATGCTGCTTGGTGTGCTTCAGAAGAAAAATGCTGAGCAAGCTTGCCACTTTTCATTTTATGCCATGATGCGATACCGTTTATCCAAGCAGTGTCACTTTTTCTTCGCGAGGGGCACGGAAATAAGAAACTCACTTTACAATACCACAACAAATCGGAAAAACTAACATATGTTTTGGATTTGATAAGAAAGTAAAATGAATTAAGATATTTTGTGAAACTTGATTTCTAATCTCTTTTGCCCTGCGAGAACTACTAATTCCTTCTGCTTTGCCCTGCAAAATGCTGTTTTTCAGGATTGGGGGGGTGAAACACCCCCCAAACCCCCCCAATAGTTACGTCCCTGGTGGCAGGAGAAAGCAAGTGTCGGTGATGGTGATACAAAAAGGTGAATTGTGTTTGCATTGTTTCAATCAGGGCCTAACATAAGCGTGGATCTGACTCGCTTTGTGGAGTTGTAAACAACAATTGTGGAACTGTAATTGTAGAAAGTGTGGATTTTCTTAAAAGTGCAGCATAAAATATTTTTTTCAATGTGAAGTGAATGCCCAATCCCATCCTACATGTATTTTTTATTTTTTTGGTTTTAGCCATGTTTCGAAAGTTTGTACATTTTCTGCGTCCTTAATTTGGTCTGGGATAAAATTCCAAATCATTGTTGCCTTGTACGTGCAACCATTTCTCCCAGTCTTTGTATCATATCTTTTCACTTCGAACTGGAGTTTATTTCTTGTTCTTTGTTTTTCCGGGTCTTTCTTCTGAAACATCTGTGCAATTGACTGGTCAGCTGATCCAAAGTTTATCTTGTGCATTCATATGAGCAGCCTCTGTTTATATAAAAATGAGATTGGCTGCCAAGTTGCTCTTGCAAGGCTCTTTATTGCTTAAAGTGTCTATACAGCGAAATTTTATATCCTGCTTTTTTTAAGAGTTATATTCTCCTATCTTTTCCGATACGTTTGACACCAAAATGGTCATAATTTGACCAGCAAAAGTGTGTTTAATCAGAGTTTGAAATTAGGTAGTGCTTGCGAAAATCAAGGCCGCTGAAAATGATGTGATATACACCCAAATCATATCTTGCCCATAAGATCTATTTTTAGACTGGAGTACTCCGGTCAAGACCCCAAGTTGTACCTTTGGATTATAAACGGAGAACGCCAGGCCATAGAAATTTGAAATTCACAACAAAAAGACAGTTTAACTAGACAAAAAGATGTGATATAAAAATTAAGCAATTTTTAGAGGAGTGCCAGGAAACTAACTAGCTGTTGAATTATTCTATGTGGAGGGCATAGCACTGACGGGGCACACAGACATACTCCGAAGTCAGTCTGTGTTTAGTTTAGGTTGTCTAGGCTCATGCCTCCTCTCCCTTCCAGGGAAAATTTTAAATTTCAATGAATCTTTTTGGCTCTGCTGGCCTTCAGAGACCTAATTAACAGACAATTCGGTTGTTTAATTTCTTCATCCTAGATTAGTCCGTCTGTTATCTTAAGTCACTTCCAATAACGTACCGTTTCATTTAGGTGCACAAGATGACAAGAAATAGCGCTATAAAGTGCATTCAAAGCTAAAACATAATGAAACCAGCTTATACTGTGTATCTTTAAAAAGGATAAGTTAAACAGATTTCGCTGGGGGCGCTGGAGTCAACCGTCAGTGTTACCTTGTGATGGGAGGGGCAAGGGGGCCAGAATGCTATTTTCATTTAAGTGTCCTTGAAACTGGCCATTTACCTAATTCATGATGACATTTCTCAAAGCTTGTAAAAAAAATCCTTTTGCAAAAAGTTAGCCAGTGTTCAAGATACCTATAGAAGATCGAAATAAAATAGAAGTTACGAAAGAATTAGTAGAAGATGGGAATTATCTTTGAAATGCCCTTTTGCTTAAGCCTGCCCCCCTTGCCCCTTGGTCGTTCCGGCGTCCCTGATGTTTCTAACGTGTAGATATATCAGGTTCCTTTTTCAAGGGCCATACATTGATTTTGACAAGGAAGTTGGGTCGGACTTAATTTTCTTATCAGTTGCATTTTGTTTGGCCTTTAATAATATTTCTTTTAAGTTCGATGTAATATTTACTTCATTTTGTATCAAATGACAAAGTCTTATAATCATTTCTAGCACCTTTCACTTGTGTCACAGTGAATTCAAAGATATGTTAGAAATCGTATTTTCTAGCCTTATGAGTAACTGAAATCCTCCACTTATTGTCTAGGACCGTCTCTTTCCATTTGTTACCCCCGATAGCCCCCTTATTTGCCCCCTGACTGTTAATTGTATTATATGTATGTTTTGAGCTTTTTCACTTGCCACAAAGTACAAGTTTAGCAAAACAAATGTAAATTTTTTATCTGGCGCTTTAGATTCCCCTCCAACTTTTACAACATCGTAGGGTCTCTTAGAATTTCCCCAAACATGTTCTTGACACATTTTCATTTAGTTTATCTGCAAGGATTGGTTTCAAAGAGACAGTCAATTTCGTAAGTGAGTCGGTCGAACTTGTCCTGACACCCCCTTGAAAAATTATTTTATTTGCGACCCTGTGCTTACGAAGGAGTCAGTCTATCCTTGAGAGACAACATTAAAAAGTAAGAGCATTACCAGACTGCAAATCTTTTCAGGAAAAGACAATAACGTTAGTTATAAAGGGTGTATTTTTGCTGCTGCCACCCCTTCCCCCAGGCGAAAAAGGCCAGACCGCCACTGGTCATTTGGAAACATGGCATGAATCACAAGAAATGTCAACCCAAAGTCAAATAAACTGATAGACATTAAGTAAGATTGTCTGTAATGGCTTATAATGTACCGCAAAGGTCAGTGGATTAGAATGTGGTTTCAGAAAGTAGTCAAACGAAGCATAAATAGTCAATAGTTTACTTTAGCAAACAAATGAATATAATGAATCCAAACCAACGTGAAAAGGAAACGTTCAAGTATCTTTACTTTCATCGCAGCCTTTTTTATTTCTGTCCTCAAACAATTCTATGGAACATGGATCATCTCGATAGAGGAATGATTCAGAAAAAAATCGTCGTCTATGATATGAATGAAGTTGGTTGCCGATACAGAAAAAGCCTTCTGATTGGCGTTGCTGAGGAAGATAAAGAGAGAGTTATTGGTTAAGAAAAATCCGTTTGGGACTAGGGCCCACGCCATGGATTTCAAGGTGGAGCGGCCAAATTCTATAAATTTGACTTTAACTTAGTGCTTCAAAGAAGGAGCTCTTTTTTATTTTTTAGTAGATGGACACCCTTTTTCCTATTTTTTGCGGTACAGAACTTGAAAATGACTTTAGAAAAAGCAAACATTTCACAATATACTACTAGAAGCTTTTTCGTCTGACACTCCCTAGAGTATAAAACTTCAGAAAGAGGGTCCGAAAACACACAATGGAAAACATATACCCAGTTGTGGATCGAAATAGGCCAATCAGAAAAACGCAAGCACTTGACCGGCATAGTTGTCCAATCAGTGCCGCGTGCTTATAGAAAAAATACCACTGAAGTCCAACGAACTCCTCCTGTCTACACAGTGGTAGCTTTTTTGTTTGCATCTAGACCAGGAAGAGGGTGAAGAAGCAGAAGAAGAAGCAAATGAAAGAGAAGAAGAAGGAGAAGAGGATGGAGAATAAGAAGGAGAAGAAGGAGAAGAAGAAGAAGGAGAAGTAGCAGATGAAGAAGTAAATGAAGAAGCAGATAAAAAGGAACAGAAATATAGGAAGAAGAAGGAGAAGAAGAAGATAGAGAAGGAGAAGGAGAAGGAGAAGAAGATGGAGAAGAAGATGGAGAAGAATGAGAAGAAGAAAGAAAAGAAGGAGAAAAAGGAGAAGAAATAGGATATGCAGAAGAATGAGAACTAGAATAATTCGAAGAAAAAGTAGATAAGGAAATAGCAGAAGATTAATAAGAAAAGTAAAGAACATTTAAAGAAAAGGTGACCATGAAATGAGTTATGTTGCTACGTTGCCTTCATCAGCGCGAACTACATTGATTAAAAACAATATGATCGGTGTCCATTTCAGTTGAACAAATCTCATGTTCAGTAGGAGGCAACCGGAAACTCGCCAAACAACAACCAGTTTTGTTTGCTCTACGTCTCATTCAGCATCAGTTCTACATGCAGCCATGAGGATGAAGACTGTAGGCCTATTATGTGTTTTGAGTTTAATCTCATTTACCTGTGGAAAAGAAAATCCACACAAAGCGAAGCTTGAGGTACGTTAGTTCTATTTTCGTATACGGATTTCACATGTAACCATTGCGGCAAATGTTGTTATCCCTACACACATCCGTTCTGGCTTGTAAGAAAATGGTTTTGTTTGTACATGTACAAGGACTTACGGGGTTTTATCTATTATGAGGAAAGGGACTTTTAGTGCTTATTGCATTTAAGTCTCTCCCCTTTGAATAATTTTTGAAGGTACTTGATGAGCGAAAAACCCTTCTGCAATGAATTGCTGTATAAACCGGATATTGTGTTTCCACATTTCCAATGTAGGCCCGTCAGATTTCCCAATCAAAACCATTCGAAACGTGTGGTAGCATGATGTTTGAAAATATACAATAATGTTTCAATCATAAATTAAGGTTGTGAATTTTAATTAGATAAACGAATAAAATCTAATCAACTTCGAAGTTAGCAAACATCGAAAGAGGGTCCCAATCTGCCTTCGCTTCAGCATAGTGAATTTTTACAGGTACTGGACGATTTTTGCTTTGAGACTAATCCTGCAAAATTAATGATAGGCTTTGCTGTCCAGTGACAACAAAGAATAGATGCCAGTCTATAGATAATAGAAAGCAACTGGTATATTTGAAAGTTTTGATCAGACAGTGCTAACAATGGCTTTTATACAGTGGATGCTGAAGCACATTTTGGAGAGGGGGAGGGGGGCTTTTGAAAAATTGGCAAACTTATGGGAAAACAACTTATGGTAGTTTTCCCCAATAATGTTTGATGTCACTTCCTGAACATATTTCAGCAAAACCCCATCAGCCCCCCCCCCCCCCGGTTTGGCGTGGCTGTAATAATCTTGCTTTCGCACCTCTAAACATTATTATTAATTTTCTTACATTTTTCTTACAGTGACTATGCAATATAAAGTTGAGCTCTGCAATGTTATACTGACATTTCAATTATATATATCGCCTAACTCTTTTTTCCCCTTAATTTCTAGACTTGCGGAGGATGACGTCTAAATAGCCTTCCACATGTGAGTTTACTAGGGTTACCTTAAATTCATGTCATACAAATTTGGATTTTGTATTAGGAGAAAACCTGTTTAATTTTTCCAGTTTATCTTTCTCTGATCTTTAATAGAGAGTGCGGGAAAATAACCGACCCGAGCGAGGCTCGAACTCACGACCCCTGACTTTGTTCGTCAAGTGCTCTACCGCTGAGCTATCGGGTCGTGCTTTTAAACTTTCTCTGATCTGATATTTGTCACAATTTTATAAATAATGTGCTTTAAAAACGTTTGTGAATCCAGATTTTTGTAGGAACTTTTGTGTCATTTCTTTAGGATGATTTTGCTGTCTTTTATAGACTGGAAGAATTTGTTCTAATTCTTTTTTCTGTTTTAGGTGAAGGCTTTTATCAATGATCATGCCAACTTGTAGTATCCTTTGTTCATGAAAAATTATTTAAAATTTGTTGCATTTGTGATGTAACTAACTTTCTATAAGAGTTTATTTTATAATGAACTAATTAACTCTATGAGTTAGCACCACAAGCCTTAAGTAGTGTTCAGAAAAGGCTCCTCGTTTCCCTGGATAACATTTTGCCCTTTTTTCTTAATCTAAATTTTCCTTGAATCTTTGTCATGAAAGTTTCGCAGATATTGAATTTAAGTATAATCATATATGCTTTATCAGTTCAAGCACAGCATTTGGTTCTTCTCACTTTAAATTCTCTTGTCAAGTTATTCACTGGCCTTCATCATAACTATGATATCCTCAGCCACAGCCACAAAGCTCTTTTCCCGACTATGAATAGCTTTTTCAAAAAAATTTCACCATGCTCCTCATCAAGTCTTGATATAGATGAGAAAATCTCAGTCTACCTTCGCTAAGGAAACTTCAAATTGTCAAAATTTCTTTTTGGCTAAAGTAGCTGAATTGAAGCAAGTGACCTCTCAAAGTTGTTTTAAAAAGCAATTTAGTGGATCTTTTCTATCTGCACCGTGTTGCCCAAAATATTTGCCTTCTAATAAAAGCGGATTGCATAATTGTCAGTTTTTTGAGTGAGAATTGGCTTAATTTTTTATGTTTGGGTATCTGTATTTAAAAGCTAGCAGTAATTATATATCAGGTGAATCGGTCCTTAATGTAAACATAGCTCCGATTTTGAAGTGGAGTACATTGGTGGGGCTGATCCAGAATTGGTATTCATGGACAAAGATTCAAAAGAGCTTGAGGTCTGTTTCTTTTATTAAATTGTTCCTACAACCCTTGCCTTTACAGATAATAAACAAGAGGAAGAATTTTCTTTGAAAATGGCTAAACCATTAATAAATTTCAAACAGTTAGGGCATTACGAAAACAAATGCAGTGATTAAGAGTTGTCTTCTTCTTCTCAAGAGTCTTGGTGTCAAAGTTTTTGAACCCATATTTGAAGTAAGCACCTATAACTGGTTTTTTGTATTGCTTGGTTCAAGTTTTGCTTTATTAAAAGCTGTTGACTTGATCAAAGGCAGAATCTGTTCTTGATGAAAAGCTTTTGCTTCTATGAGCTAGGCAGCCTTGAGCAAAGTATCCAACTGTCCAGATTTGGGCAGGAGTCTCCCAATTTGAAAGTTCTTCTCCCGTTCTCTCGAGTGCAAACCTAACCTTCTACTTTCAAAACATTTTAAATAATCTGTTTAAAAATTCTTTTTTTTAAAACATGTTGTGCAAATAAAAAAAACCTATATAAGTGTATGTGAAACTTGCCACCACATCTACCGTATCCATCTCTCTGACATTTAAACCATAACTGGACAAATGTTCCCTGGTCTTTGATTCAGATGTTTCCAGTTTCACGAGCATGTGTAAATTTTGTAATCAGATGGTTTGTTAACATCTTGCCCATTCAGCCAGCTTTGGCCAGTTATTTTGAGTAAATTATCTAAGAAATAAAGGTTTACTAAGCCATCTTTTTGAAGAATCTCAACTTAATGACAAGAGACCTGGTTGTACTAGCAAATGTAAGTTTTAACAGATTTTGTCAAAAGTCACAAAATATTTGCTTGCTTTGTAAAAAACTAAAAGTTTCCAAATACATTTTGAAACCTGTAAGTGAAGCGTTAGTTTTGATGTGCAATTTTGGAATTAAAATTAGGTTTTGAATTGAAAGTAAAAGGGACATCAAGTATAAGTGTAATAGAAATCTCAAATCATATCATAACATTTTTTTGCAGAGAATTCCTGTAGATGAGTTAATAACAGAAGATATTTGCAAAGAGCTAGAAAAAAGAGGTTTCAAAAAAGATGAAGTTAAGAGCAATAAACCATCTGACTATGATGAACTTTAAGAAGCAACATAGATTTCATGTTACAAGGTAATATTTTTGACTTGTTTTGGAAGCAGTTTGTATATCAAAATACTTCTTTTATAAAGGTTCTCTTTGTCTTTTGAAAACATTGCATGCTTCAGTATCATACCTGTCAATTTACCGATTCAGAAACTAAATTCCTACTTTTTGGCAAAATTAGTTTAATTAATCCAAATATATATCAAATCGCTGCATTTAATCAAGTCAGCTGGCTTGTAATTGCAAGCATTTATCAAAAATTTAACCATACGTGTTTCAAATCTCACTAGCCTCTATTTATTTTTACAGATAAAATGCAGACAACAAGGACATTTAATTAATTTACACTAATAGGACTTTTTCTATGTGAAGTTATGATGCTGTTTTGTGTAAACCTATTCCTTTACAGCTGAATGTACACTAATTATTGTGTTCTTCACTTATTTCAAGACATATATCTCATTTTTAATACAATGTATTGATTTTATGGCTTAAACTTTCTCACCCAGAAAAGATGGACAGAAACTTGTAAGAAAATTCTGAAATTAGTGAAGTTATTGCTGCTGTTAATTTGACTGCGTTTAATCCTCATTTGCAAAAACGTTTTCCAAATTACCATTTTTTCATACCCAAGTTATAGAAAATATGCTAAGTTTGTGAAAATTGGCTACATGATCTCTTTAATTGGGGAGGGGGCTAGAGAACAGATACAAATTGAGATTAGGCAGGGAATGATATGAGCTTAGGCCTCTTCTTTCAGAGGTTTTTTAGAAGAAAGCTTTCTCACATTTTAACAGAGTCTATTTAGAGAATCCAGTGTTTTTTATTTTTCTTCTGTTTCGTGTTTAAAAGAACTTCTAGTCATATGCACTTTTTACTTTTATTTGGGAGATTTTCGCCCACCCCATTTGTTCAAGACCCAGTTTTTTGGGATTTGGGGAACATTTCATCAAACCTGAATACCCCAGACTTATGATAAAATATTTTGCAACAAAATAAGGCTATGGTTTGGTCACTCTTTGGCTGCCCATTGCTTAAATATCTGCATGGCCATAGGCGTAGGTAAAATGGCTACAGCTCTCTTATCAACCGTTGGGCTAGCAGGGGCTATACCCCTGACTTTTTTGCGATAATAGGTTAGAAAATTTTGTCTGAAAGTTTATCCTAACGCAGCTTTGAATAGTTTACTTTGACAGATAAGTAGCATCAGTTCTTCTTGACTTAGAACCTTTTTTGTTCATTGCCTAGACCTTTTGTCTTGTTTAATGATGTAATGTATTTTCTAACTTATTCAGTTTGGTGTTCTTTTATACGCAAGCTTATTTTATCTATTTTTATAGTTATTTACATATTCTCAGAACCAGACAGTTTATGAAAAATCGTTGGAAAAAAGCAAGCATTTTCTGGAAATAAGCAAGCATAAGGGGCTTTTCCGAAATCCTAGAGGGCGTGGCCTTAAAAAAGTTTTCGATCACGCCATTTTCAGACCCCCTCCCCCCCACTTTAAGACTGGTGCGCGGGGCCTGGTGCCATCTCAATGACTCTGATTTTTGGTTCCTCTTTGCCTGTAAAAAATCTTCCAATCTTTAAAATTTTCTTCCATAAACCACTGCTTTTGAACGTGCAAAAATACCCTTGCCACATCGGACGTCGATAAAGTCCACTGGGGTTCTTCCATTGTCGAGCCTACATACCTATTCAAGCCAGGGCCTAAAATAAGCGTGGATCTGACACACTTTGTGGAGTTGTAAATTAAAATTGTGGAATTGAATTGTAGAATGTGTGGATTTGTAAATAATGCATCTTCTTAAAAGTGCAGCATAAAATACCAATCGAAACGCCTAAGAAGGAAATGGGAACGTTTTTCAATTCAAAGTGAATGTCCAATGCCAGCCTTATGTATTGCGTTCATTTTTGATAAGAAAATTGCAATAAGAAATAAGCAATGGACAATAAAAAAGAATTGAGAAACTTCAGAACTCGAAGCTTCAGTACATGCGGAGAAAAATCAATTGCGCTTTATTATATTGTTCTGTGCTATTTTGAAGATGGACTCTGTATGCAGTAAGATGAAGTAAGATGGACTCTGTTTACAGCTTTGATTTCAAGACATCATCTCAATTTAGTTTGCTTCTATGATTTGCTTCAAAAAAGACACTGAGCCTAGAGACCAAGACCGAGATTATGATCTTCTGTCCGTAATGTATTTTGGGGTCTATGTGATATCTTTTAATAGATTTCAGTAAAAGCTATAAAGCAATTCAACTAATGTGTTTTAAATTGGAGAAGCATTGGAAAGATTCTTCCCAAGGCTACAGCAGCTGAACGATGATAAGCCTCTCGGTGGTAGCTTCAGGATTTTGCCAGTTGTTTTGGATGGTTGGCAGCCACATATTTTGTGGTTGGCAGCCAAATGCAGCCAGCTAAACGCAGTTTACAAAAAAGCTAAATTTTTGGTAATTATTGGGATTGATACCGTAATCAAAATTTGCTTTGTAGGTTACAAAAGTTTTCACTTGCTTTTATCAAAAACTGTCTGTTATATTTTACTTTGTTTCATCATTCATCATTTGCAATTTTGAAATTATTTTAAAAAGTTTTGAATATTATCTGTGCAAAAAATTTTTGTTTCCTTTGCATTTTCGTTGTTTTTTTAAACATGCGGCCAGAATTCAGCCAAATTTTGCTTCTTCAGCCAAATCAATTTATGACGGCCAAGGAGTTTTGAGAAACTGCCAAAATGGAGAAATTTGGCCATCAAACCATGAATCTAAATTGCCGTTTTGTTTATGAAGAATGTGTACACTGGGTTGTCAAACGGGCCAAATTGCAACTCTGGCCACTTGATATTCTGAGCATGCACTAGCCTCTTTCTCGAGCAGGGTTGCCTTGTTTTGAAATGTAGCATAATTTTTGCACAATCTTATGACAAATTTGGCGTAATTCCAAAATTGAGATCTGGTGCCTTGTTTCTGCATTACAAACAAGATGGGGGTAAAGGTCATGCTTTCAAGCTGGGTGAAAAGAGAATAAGAAGAAACAAGCACAATTGTACATCAGTGAGAGAAGAGTTTATTTGCCATCTGTAACGAGAGTCTCGTTTATAGTACCAAAACTTTTTAAAGAACAGATTTGATGGCAAAGAATTTGATGGGCTGAATGCAATTAAGAACTTCCCATTAGTAAAAGAGACTTCACTCAGCTTTTTTCCCAGACAAAATATTTCATTCAATCATGCATTAAATTTTGAGAAATAAACGACTAAGATCGCAGAGATCTGAGACTTGTTCTCAGTGGAATTCTACCAGACGAGACAATGGCTCGGATTCTCGCAGCAAACCCTAATTCTGTCAACGCAGAGAGGCTGATTCCCACCTACAACAAGATAGAGGCAGGTGGGGGAAAGCAGCATAGCTCCACAAAAACTTAACAAATAGATAAATATTGCGATGAATATGCTTGATCTCTCAAGTTTCGAATTCCGAGAAAAGCTGCAAAGATATGGCTCCCAAAAACCACCAAAGTCTGGCAAGCAAGGCTGATTAAAGGAGTTTTTGAAGGTGGAAGGAAATAAAAAGTAACTTTGACAGAGATCCGAACAAACCATGTAAAAGAGTTTCCTTTCGATAAGTTTTTGCTCACATATTAAGACATAGCTATATGTAGTTAATTTTCTTGTTAACCCAATCCATATATTGTAAAGAATCAGCTTTTGCTACTTATACTTCATTCATTTAAAGAATTTGCCCAATTAGGACATGCTATTTGCACTATGATGGCAGTTTCTATATTTGCCACTCCCATGATGCCAATCCCAGCAAAGTACCACGCCCAATTTTATAGAAAATGTGGATCTGTAAAAGTTCTTATTTTAGGCCCTGATTCAAGCTTAGATATTTGCCCTCAGTGCCCCAACCCCATTTCTTCAAATAGAATTTGGATAAAATGGAAAATAAGGCTCAAAAGAGGTCTGGACATGATTTGAGGGTTGGACCCCAATCCACCCCATTATTCCGCCCCTGACATGTGTTACTGTGGCCTTTTCACTTTCCTGAGAAATTCCTCAAAAGGTTCCTTGCTTGCGTTTCAACATTTGGTCTCATTAGATGCCTTAGCCATGTTGGTCTTCTTGCTCTTATTACTTGGCTCCATGGCACACATTTCGTTTTCGTCTTTGGTGCATCGGTCTGTGATTTTTGGTTGCCAGTTGATTCCTTGGTTTCTTCTCAGGTGTCTGCATTGGAAGGTATCAAAAGTGCTTTCTAGTTTTCCTTGTATTGTCCATAGTTCACTGTCATATAGGAATACGCTCGCGACAGCAGTTTTCTTGCTTTTACCATCCTTAACAAAGCTGCTGGTTAGCCAACACTGCCCCTGAGAGCAATTTAAAACCATCCTATTTTGTTCTAGTCAACTTTTATCAAAACACAAATAGTACAAAAGAACATCTTGAAGGGTGGTTGCCAATCAGAGATTTCTTGCGAGGCAGAATTTTGGACAATTTTAACCCCAACACATATTCATCTTTGCTGAATTACAAGAGAGTGTCTATGTTAAAATTTGCAGCAGGGTAACATATGGCTAGTGTCATTTGCCTAAGTGCAAGCATGCAGAAGCACTTTCTAATATTGTTGCCTCAAAATATTATTGCGAAAAGAATGAGACAGAAAGAACTCATGTTAAATTATACAAAGACATCATATTATATTATCATGATAAAAAGTTAACATAATAACCCTTGTAACTGCAATAGTTGTACAGTCTATTTTTTCAGGTCATTTTTCGTTCATTTCAGTAACTAAATCTACGTAGCAACAGGCCAACTGACAAGCAAGAGGTAAGAAAACAATAGGCCTAGTAGAAAGTAAAATGCTTTGCTTTCTTCAATATTTTTTTAATTACCCAGTCAAATTTCTAATACAATTGGGCATATTTCAATTTTCGGTTGCCCTGTCGTAGAACTGTTGTTGATATCAAAATTTCTAGCGGCATCGTTACGTGGTCAATATTAATCATATGTCCAAGGCCTCACAAAAAAATTGTCGGGAGGGACTGGGGATTGCATGGTTCTCAGAAGATTCCAAGTGAAGTAAAAATAAGTCATATCTTGAAACATCTACTGTCACCAAAACGTTTAAGCAACTAGGTTTTTTAATATACATACTGACGAAAAAGGTCGTCTTTGGTATTTTATGCTGCCGGTTAAGCTAAAAACCACGAGACTACATAACTATTATAATGAGGAGGCAAATAAACCAAAGTCGATTTTATGTCATGTAAAAACCTTCTGGGCGTTTGGTAAGACGTACAATGCATATTACATAAATAATAGGATTTATATTGTCAAAATTGACTGTAGTACTTATAAGCGACACAGTTCAGCGAAGATTCAACTTCGAGTTATAAATATGGCTTGTTTTGTTAATTTGAAAAGCAGAGGTATCGTTTGATTTATATACAGTCCGCTCATGGTGACTGAAGAGTGGAAAATTGAAAAAAAGTTTCAAATGATTTACTTCCTCTTATCGATTGAAGGATTGGGATAATGACTATCATGAGCAGGGGACCTGTTTGGTTTATTTGGTAATACCTCAACCGACAATAAACAACTTTGCTGCTTATAACACGTTCATCTTTTTCAGTTGATTTTATTTTCCAGAAGCCTCAAGGGAAAGGCGTCTTTACTGTCTTCAGGCAAATGCATCTTCGCGATCGGTGACCTGTTCAACATCTTCTAAGTTGCTGAAATTCAGGAAATGCGAAGGTCGATGCACCTCGTGGTAGAACTCTTTGGGGTTGGCCAGTTGAAGTTCGTAACGCATGTTTGCGGAGTGACGTACGCCTGCGGAAACAACGATATATGAATTAGCTTGAAATGCATTTGTGGGGGAGAGAGAGGTGAAGTGCGCGAAGGGGTGAAAGCATAAGAACGGGGAAGAATAGGGGCGAAGTGCACGAAAAAAGTGAAGAGGAAAAGGTGGGTTTTCGAAGTGCACAGAGGATGTAAAAAGGGCGGAAGCAGGTGGTAGGGCTGGAGCGCGTAAATGAAGGAAAAGGAGGTGACAGGGGGGGGGGGGTGACTGTTTTCAAAGAGTATCAACATTGCTTGATTATCAACATTAAACAATAAAATTTCATGAATACAACGCAAATCAATATTATGTGTGAAGTATTATTAGATGTAAAGCTTTAAGAATAGAAGAATAGAAGTAGGAAATTGTGGTTTATTTGTAGAGAAAAAAGAAATACCCATGAAATTGAAGTTCCAGGATCCCTGGGCAGGCACCATGAAAAAGCCGAGGAAGCGGTCGGACAGAAGCATTTGCACCTTCTCGTAATGAGACGGCAAGTAGCCACGTGGGTTGTTGCCCGTATCTTTGTTGTTGCGGCCCCATTCGTATCCAGATGGAGTCAGTTTGTAAGCCGTCAAGGAACATGAGCCTGGGGTGAAGCTGCAAAATAAGATAGTAGAACGTTAAGTTGGGAATTCGGGGCAATAAGATTTTTGTTTTACTTACTATGATAATAAATCCACCATGTTTTGCAGTTAACCAATAGAAGGCTTGATAAGACAATGTAAATTTGTTCAAAGATCAAAATAGTCCTTTTAAAGAAATTTTCTTTCTTAGAAAATATTTCATTAATTATTTATGCTAACCTACTTAGAATACTTGTGAAAAATGCAGCTAGAAAAATAATAATCTACATTTCCTACGAAAGAGGCCTACAATATTCACGCCCAATATAAAACTGGAATAATTCTTTGCTGTGGCAGTAAACTTAAAATGTAGCTAGATTGGAACAACGTTTTAGAGCGATTGAAGTGAGTACAGAAATGTTCTAAAAGATGAAATAATAAATAAATAATTGTCATAAAACTACGCAAACCTGCAAGTGATTATAATTGTCTTTTCACCATCCCAAGCTGGGTTGTCAGCCATTATTTTGGCATGTGTAGTCACGTCTTGCGGGGACAGCTGTGGCAGCTCGTTTGGTTGAGTATGCACCCAGCCAAGGGGCTCCATTTCCTGGCAAAAACAGCGTTGCAGAAATTGTTAAAAGAAGCACTTAATTTGAATAAGTGATTAAAAGAGAGAGGAAAATTACAAAACAACTGTAAAGGCCTAAGCAGCACATAAAAATCCTAGAACTGGGAGATGCTATGACGATGTGGAAAATGAAGAGCAGCAGGCATCATTTGTGTGCTAACAAAAAGCCCGTGAAGACAGGAGCAGATTGCCCCAGGTCTCGAGCTGGTGGGGCCTCAAAACGTAAAACAGGTCCTCAAAAGCTGGTGGGGCCTCAAAACGTAAAACAGGTCCTCAAAAGCTGGTGGGGCCTCAAAACGTAAAACAGGTCCTCAAAAGCTGGTGGGGCCTCAAAACGTAAAACAGGTCCTCAAAAGCTGGTGGGGCCTCAAAACGTAAAACAGGTCCTCAAAAGCTGGTGGGGCCTCAAAAGGTCCCAGCAACAATTACAGTTTTGATTTTGCCCCAGGAAAAGCCCAGGCGGCCCTGATAATCGATGACAATGTCAGGATGAAACCGAAGCTAAAGATGAAGTTTACTGGATGGAAATGAACATAAATCATGTTAACATGTATTGCCAATATCCAATGATAATAATAAAACAATATTAACTAGCAAAAGGATTAAATGCAAATGGTTATTGGCAGTTGTATTCATACCTTGAGGTAATCATGTTGTGGCAGCTGATTCGGTAAGTGCACCGTTTGATGCGTGCCCCACTGAGGCACCAATGAAATGCAGCGAATCTCTTTCACTTGCGGATTGTCAGGAGGGCTGACGCCGTACAAGTAGCCAGCGATCTAGAAATAGCAAGCGATCCAACTCTTAACTGATGAAGTAATTACTAATAAAATGCTTAAAACCATTCCTTAAGACTGATACGCTTTACGGCATCATAAAAATGAAAGGCCTGTTGGATGATAGGAATTGTAATTCACTGTGACATTAAATTCCATACACAGAATCTTGATTTTTGCCTAAATCACCAACCCCCCGGGTCAGGGGCACTCTCGCAGATCGACTTATTAACAGCCAAGGGATTCTTCATGCAAAGGTGGTTCTTATTTCTCAGAATCAGGGGTGCTATGCTAAGAAGGCAGCCGCTAAAAGTTTCTCTTAAACATACAGCCAAGGGAGCAAAGAAACTTGTTTCAGCATTAATATCGACCCCCGAGCCCATAGGATCTACAACCCTGCTTAGAAATATTTCTGATTTCTAAATCTGATTTTTCATTACAGACAGATGAAAGGGGACAGGGAAGATCGGCTAGACAGGAAGATCGGCTAGACAGGAAGATCGGCTAGTCACCTGTGTTCTCAGATCTGATATTACAATAAACTTCTTCAAGATGTTCTTCGGCAAAATATAGGTGAAGCCAGTCTCCTTGATATCGTCTGATGACACATAGATATGATTTGTTCGCAAATGCAAATTGGTTGCCGATATAGCTCTGATTCGCCACTCCGTTTTCGACGCAAACGTCGCTCTCTCGTAACTGCTTGTCGTCGAAACGATGATCTCATCGCCGTGAATGTTCGTTGTGCGGGTTGTTGTTGCTGTCAGCTGCGACTGGTCCTTGGCTTGCTTTTCGATTTCGGCAATTTGCTGACGTTGCTGCGAGGGAGCAGATATTTCCATACCAAGGATGATGTCTCTGATTTCTGACTGGGTCAGCGAAGCGACATTGACACTGCGGAGGAACACATGAAAAAAATAAATACGTTGGTCGCCGAGCTTTTATTAATTAAGTCATTAAACTTGATGTTTTCTCATTTCACAGAAATGAGCAGAGCTGTTGACGACAGAATTTCTAATGTCTCCCAGAAATCTAATAATTGGTCTATACCTAGATTTACCATTAATAAAAATTTTCCAAAAATTCCTTCGTGGCTGTTCGATAGTTCTTGAAACGTGAAACCCTGATAAAATGGGCAAAAAAGTGACGAAACTTCGAAATGCTGGCAAAAACATTAAGACTCAGAACGTGAATAAAGTCGAAAAAATTGATAAAATTGGCTGGCTAAAAATATTTATTTTTTTGCAAATGCTAATTACATGCAAACAAGCAAATGGTTGAAAAAGTGTAAAAGTTGCTAGATAATAAGAAATCTACGCACTTGTTCTTTTTGCCGTAATCAGCAAGAATGAGATCCTTCAGGGCAACCTCAACTCTCACCCACTCATCATCAGTAAGGGTCGGCCAGATATGATGCGCCTCCGTGATCGTCGTTTTATCAGGCTTCAGGATGACTTTGGTGCGGTCAGTGTTGACGTGAAGTGCCCTCAGTATGAGAATGAGACGCGAGAAGGCAGTGTATGAAGAAATGGTTTTCAGCCAATCATCGTAGAGGTTAAATAAGACCATCTGCGGCTCAGTTGCTTTGAGAATCAAGTCGCCCAGTTTCTCGACCTGAAATGCAAGGGGGAAATTTGTCCAGCATTTTTATTATGAAGTACTATGCCTGGAATGGAGTATAGGATTATAGTGCTGAATTTCATGGATAAACTAAACCGAAGAGCTATGGAGTCAATCGAATTTAAATATCATTGTTTCCAACGTCTGGAGATGATTACAAGACAAGCAAGTTCATTTTCAACCAGCTTTACTACAAACGACAGAACGGGCGTTTTCAAGGTGATAACAAACAAATGTTCTTTGCCATTGTTCTTGCTTTCTACAAAGTTACAACGCAAATAGGTTAAAAAACTATTGTGGAATGATGTGTCCTTATGAATCCAATTAAACATAGCAAGCAAAGATGCTGATAAAGGAAATAACCAAGGCAGGACTCCGACACGCGTCCAGTGACGCTGTGCAATTACCTCTACTACACCGCTGCCCGGTGACGATTTCTAATCCAAGTTACAAAGCCATGCCACCTTATCAAACTTGCAAATTTTATGATTAGTTTAAGTAACTTACCTTGAGGCATGCTTGGAAGGGAAGCTGCAACTCGCTGCCTTTGATGACGATGTTGGGGAAATCGAGCAGATGAACCTGCGATTAAAGAACGCTTAAAAAGGCACCAGCAATGATACAGCCCATTATTTCGAATGAAAAACGAGTTAAACTTCTTCTTGCTTCGACTACCACAAAATAATTAGCATTTGATGCTTTGAAATTTTATGTATTTTTATTTGACAAAATCTGACCATACAATCCATGGCCTTCCATAACAAGAATCTGAAGTAAAAACTGGTTTGGAGGATTCGATTCGGTACATTTGACCGTCACAAAAGTTTTTAAGCGCACTATAAGATAAAGCGGGCCAAATAAAGTATTTACTGTTAGCAAATGGGACAATGGAGACAGTACATTCTTATAGAAAGTTTTCTCTTAGTTGCTAACATGCAATAGATTCATACATAAAAAACAATTTTGAGGTGATTTTCAATGATGCTTTGCTGAAGTTTATAGGAAAAGCCGAAAGGAGTCTACGTATTCTTGGGCCCCATTCCTATTTCTTTGCTTTGTACAAAAATGGAGAGAAAAATATCCGTAAAATGTATTCATGTTGATCGAACAAAATGGGCAGTTCAGTAACCTCAGCTCTCAGATGAATAATCAACAAATGGTAAGTTGCTTCACGAGTCAAGTCATTTACAAATTGAGCAATATATTTCCCAGCAACCAGCAGTTACCCCGAATGCACTGTTCATCGAGGAAGAGCGGCCATTATTGTAGCGAGATCTTAAGGCATACCTCGAGAGGATCCAACATTCCTTTCCTTGTGACAATAATCTGTTTTGGCTGTTCCTCAACTGGCAACGACCGAATCAAAGCTGCAACTTCTTCAGCGGTTTTCCATTTGGCAAGCTGTGAAGAACAAAGCAAAATTAATATTTCTATCCTTAAACTGTCTTCCAACATGAGGGTCTATTTATTGAGTCTTGAGCCGATTAAAACTGGCTTGAATATCGTAGAATTTTGAATAAATAAAGTTTCAACAAAGAGGAAGTCAACTGTACATGGTCAATCTCTAATGTTAACGCCAATCTAGTGGAATCGTCTAACAACTGGTACCTTCAAAAAATAGAACCTTCTTTCAAAAGACACCTTAACACAGCCACTACCTAATAGAGGGTACCTAATTAAAATCATTATCCCCATTAACCTATTTACAACAAACAGTTACACTGATCAAAACATATACGTCACATGAAAGTTCTTGTGGCGCGAGGATGGCTCAGTTGTTGAAGGCGTTGACTATAGACCCAAGGGTCCGTGGTTCGAGTCTCTGACATGACCAAACTTTCACCCAGAGTAAGGAGAGTTGCCAGCTTTCTGTAATTCCAGGCGTAGGAATCACGAGGTGTGGTCACATCGAGAGGAAGGACCAGGAAACTGCTCGATAAGCATAAGCTTCTCAGTCTCCTAAAACTACCTTCGGATGCTAGGTAGCAACACATACAAATACAAAGTTCTTATGCGATGTTCCTCACTGACAGTAATATAAACTTCTATCTCAACATACCTGTCCGAGACGCTTCTGTCCGGCCCAGACTGAGGTGTGAATGATTTTCAAAAACAACTGACCAGTTCTTGGGTTGAAAATGAAGATACCACCATTGATCGGCTTCGTTGTTAAGTTGCCTTCAAAAGTCTAGAAAGAGCAAGCATTAATCAAAACTGATTTATACGTAAAAGATAATCAGTGAACTGGGCTACAATCACTCGTCCATTTGACGATGGTGATACTAATCATGATGATTGTGATTAAAATCAGGATGATACAACAGCAAAATAACAAATACAACGACGATCATGATGATGATGATGATGACTGTTGGTTATGATTATTATATGATTGAGATGATAAAGCTGATTATGATGGTTATATTTACGGAGATGGTTAGCGATGATGACGAAGACAACTGACTATAACTGACGACGAAGCTAAATAAAAATCAGTTAGAAATTTAGTCCCTTACTTTATGAATTGTCACCCTGTAGACGTTGGTATCGTCCACAAACCAGATGATCTGATTCGAGAACAACTCTCCGTAATTCTGTGACGAGAGATATGGCTCAGTCGGTTCACTGCTGTACAGTTGAAGCGCCTTTCTGATGCGCTCCCTCAGCACATACAAGGCAGGATTCGCCTTCATTATCTTGGCCATTGCCTGCTGGATCAGTGGCTTCATGCCAGGAATCCAATTGCCAAACGCACTGTGAAGGAGAATTGCAATACCGTACTTAAGAATTTGTCACATGTTGGGAGGCTTAGCCATGATACACGAATAAACAAATATTTTGTCTTCCAAGAAAAAACGCACAAATCAAAATACAATGGGGGAACGAAATAACTATACAGGGTAAACAAAAAGAAAATAAAAAAGACGATTTTATCGCTAATAATGTTATGTCGGGGGTTATGAAGGAAATTCCGAAGCAGTAAAACCAACGAAATCAGCACTTCAAGACGATTATCTTCAACAATCGAAATAAATCTTCAATATAGATTAGGGGACAGATGTAAAAATAATGACCCGAAGAGAAAAAAGAATCCAGCGCATAAATAGTAACTTTCAATCTCATATGAGGAAGGAAAACCAAAAGAAGAAGTATAGATATACAAAAAGAAAGGGGAGTTGGAAAAAAGATGGAACATTTGTTGAACAAATAACCCAAAAATTTGACTGAATAAATGGATAAATCAAAGTACAGAAGAAAAAAATGAATGAAAGAGACGAAAAAAAGAAAAGATTGATGAAGGAGAAAGTAGAGGAAAAATAAGGTTAGATCAGCGTTTAAACAACTCCAACAAACTTGGAGAAGACTCGGAGAGGGAGGATAGACAAATAAAAACAACTTGACAGTGGGCAAAGAAATTGGAGTGTAGAAATACGTGAAACTAGAAAAAAAGGCTTTATTCAGGTAAAGTCGTTTTACCTGTGTAGATTGTAGGCAAGATCTATAGCAATGAGAACTCCAGTCGGTGATGGATAAATGCTCATATTGTCGGTGGTGTAATCCAGGAATTTAGCACGTGAGTATCTCTCGATGTCATGGGAATCGTAGTCACCCCATCGAAGCTGAACATCGACCCAATATTTCTGAGTGGTTGTGTTATCCATTGTGTCCCTGTAAAAAAATCGATATTAGTGCTGATTCACATTGTCCCTGTGGAAATTAAGGGCCAGGGATTAACTATGGTATTTGACAATGGAAAACCACTGTTTTTGAAGTGGAAACCATTTCAGCTGTGATCTACAAGTCTCGGGGAATAAAATTGCGGGGGTTTGCACTTGACTGCATATCTGAAGATTGTCCCCTGGGGGATTTACCCTTTGGACCTTGAAAAAGTCCGTCGGGAACAAAATTTTGGAAATCGAAAGGTGACAGGCTGTCGAAATCACAGGAAAATAAACAGTATTGCTAATAAGGAGTAAGGACAATCTTTAAAGTGACGTACTTTGAATCGGCGAGAAGCGAAGGTTTTGACACGTTCCATTTGTACGCAGCAAAGAGCAAAATATCTGCGCAGGAGCTGTTCATTTTGTACGACTTTCGGGGATGAATTGTCTCTTTCTGAACTGTCTCGATTTCCAAAGCATCGAGTTCTTGATCAAAGACCTGGGCGACAGAAACATTGCTCGTTATTAACGGATGATTAACAAATCCTACCAAATTATTATCACTCACTATGCATAGTTTCTTAAGGTACTTAAATATATTAATATCAAACTGACAATTGTGTTATATTTAAGCATTTGTCTTATAGCATGTTACCAAGTTATCATAAATTATATCCTTTGACGATTAGTTGAAAAAGCTGAATAAATAAAACAGAGAAATACAACAACTTACATAATAATTCTGAAAGCCTTAAGATAAAGAAATTGAAGAAAGGAACGCTTCAAAACTTTTCCATGTTTTTATGAAGAAGCTGGAGAAAAAGTTGACTACAAGTCAAAACAAGAAATGAGGAAGGTTTTTTAGCAATTTGAAACTGCCAGAGTCTTCAGCAATTGTCAAAGGTTCTACCTGACAGAGATCCATGACAACGCTCTCGTGAACCTTCTGCCACAAATGAGCACGGAATATCTGAATCAATGAGATTTTCAGCGTCGGGATTTTGCCATGCATAAATATTCCAGTCAAATCAAGCTGCACTTGGAAACCGACGTAGACCTGCAAAATAACAAAGAAGCATTTTCTAATTAAAAAGTGCAGGGAGACAATCTGTATCAAGGCGAAGGAAAACTGAATATTTACTATGAACATTACAAAAAGTTTTAGAAAAAAACAACAAGCATAAACTTTTATAGTGGCACAATCAGGAGACTTCTAAAGGGGTGCAAGTAGTAATGGGGTAAAGAGAATGTACGAAATGGTTAAATAAATCAGCTATGGTCAGGGAGTGTTAGGCCTGTTCGGGGTTTCCATGGTTCAGGGGCAAAAATGTTTCGGTCTCGCATTTTTAACTATCAATGCATATATGAACAGACGGAATTTTTCAAGAAACTTAAAAAAAGGCTAGAATATCCAAGTAGAAGCATTCTTCTTAGCCTTAAATATCTTAAGTTACTTATTCAGAGGTAGGCTGTTTCTCGCTATAATTTAAGGTAGCGGAGGTTGATAAAGTTTCTAGGACCTTAATGCAAGTCATTTGACAAAGAGATCAGTTCAATTATTATTACCTACGTCCGCACAAACACCCCCCCCCCTCTAGTAACACCAATGCATTATCGAAAATTCCCCACACAGAAACTCCAAACCATTTGACAAATCACGCAATCAAATCAACAAGACATTAAAACCTGCCATAGAACAAAAACACTCGAAATAAGTAGACTCACGTTGGCTCTGTTGATAGTAGGCGACCACCACAAAGTGAATCTTCTGTTTGGGATTTGATTCAGACCTGATCTTTGGGCATTTGTCAACTTTTTGTATTTCATCGACTCCTCAAAGCCACTTGCTTTCTCCCAAAATAGACCTTCCCAGGTTGGGAAGTATGTCCCTTTGAACAAGGTGTGTTCCAAGATTCCCTCTACGCCCCCTAATGCTTGGATCATATCTGTGCGGTAGTTGTTCAAATTCCACAGTTTTCCGTCGTGCCTCTGATGGGTCCACCAGAATGGGTTCTGTTTTAGCACCTGGAGAGGGAATGGAAATCACTCTTTAACGTGACAGTCGAAGAAATTGCTGCAAAAAAGCTTCATTTATTACAAACGTTCATGTTTTTTAAAATTATGTGTCGAGTTCGAGGAGTTTAAAATTTCCGTATCCACCATGCACACGTGTTGAAATGTATCGTTTGGCGAAATGCCGTTTGCCTTTGACAGGGAGTAACGAAAGGCGACTGAACGAATACAATGCAACAATAGACAAGAAATGGTAGTTTCATACAACATGAGGATATGGAAAAATGACACCAGGGCTGGAACAACACACTGGAACAAATGCATTGGAACCTATGCATTTAAACCAAGGCGGTTGTGGAACAAATAAAATGGAACAAATGTAGTGGAACAAATGCAGTATAAAACAAACAATGTGGAACAAACGAAGTGGAACGCATGAATTGGAACAAATGCAGAGGAATGCATGCATTGGAACCCGTGCACTGAAAAGAATCACTGAAGTACGCGCAAAGGATAATATTATTTGTTAAATAGTCACCTGGTACTGCTTGAAGTCGGTTCGGACCCTCCATCCTTTGTCGTAGGCCAAGGTGTGCCTGTCCTTCTGGAAGAGCGTGTTGATTCGGGGAATACCCCTATCCCAAGAGTCTTCTAGATCTTCTAATGTGAGTCGCCTGTATCAATGCAAAAAATGAAATTATGGATTTTGTTGCCGATGAAAAAGCAAATGTGAGAGTTGGAGAAACCTGACAAAATCTTAAGATGAGATCAAAAGAGAAACTGGAAACAAACCTGTTTTGCGCATTCGCTTCCTGTCGCTTGAGCGCATACTCGGCCCAGACTCTTTGTGAGTCGATGAACTCGCTTTCCCAGGGCTGCACGTATCTGTACAAGTTTGGAATCAGCTGGTCTTCGTCGTGACTCATTCCTGACCGGAAATGGGTGATTCCCGCGTCGGTTTGCTTTGACCACCTACCATGAACCAACAAAAACTAAGATTATGAATTGAAGTGAATTCTGAATGGAAAGCAATGTTCCTAAATCCTCTCAAATTTGCAACTAGCAGAAGAAAACGAGGCTGCTTCTGTCATACTAAGAAAGTCTGACACGCCTTACAAAATTGTTGTCGAAAATAAAAATTCATATACGTATATTAAAAATCATAGAGTTTCCAGGTGGTTTTTTTAAAGGCTGAAGTAGTATGCAATAGCTAGAAAGTTCTAATTGGGCACTTTATTGGCTCAGTTATGTAGAATATTTCTTTAAAGCGATGTTGCCAGGAAGATGATCTACATCGCCCATCAATGGAAAAGGAGCCTTACTAGAAAGGGTTGCCTTCAAATACTCCTATCTCTTTGTGGAGGTATCGTTAACGTGATTTCAACAATCTGACTACAGATTTGGTATTCTTTTGACAAGGGCACTGAGACATTGTAAAACAAACGGGAATTGCTTAGAAACAACCGACCTACCTTAAATCAGACTGTGGAATGAGAACGTGGCCCATTGAAAGCATACCTAGACCGCCAAGTTCTTTGGGTGTGTAGAAAACAACTGGCGGGAAACGGCTAGGCATTTTGGAATTCAAACCAATCTTTATACGCGTTTGGATCTGGAAACGAACATAGAACAATTGAGAAAAAACGAAAGTATAACGAAGAAGCATGAAGATATAAAAGAAGAAAAACGTAACTAGAAAACCGAGGACAACAAGAGGAAGAAAAAATTTTGAAGCAGAGAAGAGAAAGAGTACAAAAAAAGAAGGGTTAGAAAATGGAGAAGAGAGGGAGGAAAGATAGGAACAAGAATAAAAAGAAAATACAGTAGAGAAAAAATAGAAAATTAAAGGAAGGAAAAGAATATGAGAAAAAGAAAAGAACAGTTTGATAAAAAAAAGGAAAGGAAAAAAGAAGAGAAAAATAAGAGTACAAAAAGAATGATAGAAAACAGAAGTAAGAAAAGAGGAAGATGAGGCAAAAGAAAAAAGACAAAGTTAAAGAGAATTGACGTATTTACCTTGTTTTCGCATTTGACGAGTAGGTCGAGCAATTCCTGAGTGTTGACGACTGCCTCTCTATAGTAAGTCATTAGGCCGATTAGGGCAGTGTTCCATTTGTTGACAATCTTCGTAAATGTTGTTGAACCGGAGGCCATGAGAATCTGTCTAACTCTGTTATGAAACTTCGACATTGATTCATCGTCTACCCGAAGAAAACACTGAGCAGTTCTTTCTTTCGTAACCTGTACACAAGAAGAGACTTCATCAGTCACATGAAAATTTTCAAAACAGCAATAAGAAGTTCGCAATTTTGGGACTGAATTTTTCCACTTCCAGCCAATGTTTGTGCATGATGAAACCTCTTAACAAATAGCCTCATGCCATCATTCATTTCAATATAAAATGGATATAAATTTGACAAATAAAGTATTTAGATTAGAAATTTTGGATTAGACAAGGTCTCAGGATGACCAGCTGAAAAGCTTTACTCGAAAAGCCATTAAAACATTTTACTTTTCCATGAGCAAAATCCTCTTTTTAGTTCACTTTTTCATGCAAGGGATGAAGGTATATTTTACCTTCCTTTAGAAAAGCTGGCATGCTTATAATACTCTACTGGTTTGGAGACATCTAGCAGAATTACAAACCACCATCAAAAAACTGCCTAACAAAACAGCTTCCATAAAGGAACAGCCCCGATATTATTATGACGAGCACCCCCCCCCCCCTGACCCTTGAAAAGGCTTCTATTTTTATCAGTAATAGCGGAGTGTTAACCTCATTTTGAAGGTTCCAAATGCCATCCCGGTAGGTGAATTCCTCTCTTATCATCCGGATCTTGGGCAGAATTCGGCACTCGAATCCGCCCATATTGAAGAGCAGGTTAGGGTTGTCCTTGCTGTAAACCGACACAAAACTGTCTTCCCACTTCAAGGTTGTGATTGACCTTGGCAGCCTGTTCTTTATATCCCAGAATACAGCGCGGCCAAGGTTGACGTCATGCTTCATAAGGCGCATCCTTGCATCCCTGGGCCAGCATTTCTTGTTGTTGTAGCCGACTATGTTTTCGTTGTTTGGATCCGGGTGTTCTGTCAGGTATCTTTGGATCAGGTCCCGCGCCTCTTCTGCAGTAAATCTAGCAAGAAACAATCATTCAATTTAGATTTATTAAAAAAAATTGAAAACTCGCAAAGAAAAGAGCACTTTTCATTTATTCCCCCTAGTATTTGTCTCATCAAATAAAGTCCATCATACAACTTATTCTCAAACAATTAACAAAAATAAGAACAACAGTTTCAAAAAATCAAACTTCATTGAAGATTTTACAACTTTTAGCTGTAAAGGGATAATTCATATTACAAGTTTTGACCTGAACGACCTGAGAGAAACAGTTTTGTCTCCTCTTATTCAATCTAATTGTAGTTTCAAATTAAAGCTATGTAAAAACTGTTCAATTCAACTAGAAGCAGGGGCGGCTGGGAGAGATTTTAAACTGCTATTAGAGAAAATCGTGGTATCAGGGCGTGGCTGCCGCTGTTTTTTACTTCCAACCACACCCTCTTCAATGGTTGTTTTCAATATTGCACTGTCTTTTTCTATGCTCTACCTCATCGTTACATCTTGATTTTCTTGGCCGCAAGTCGAAAACACCTTGCCATTTTCTATTGTAACGCTCTCTTTCTCATAGTCATAAAGAGAAAAGCAAAAAAATCAGGGAGGGGGGGCTATGGCCACGGTCGGAGGTTATTTGATCTCTAGAGCAATAAGGCCCATTGTCAGACTTGTCAGACTTATAATTTTGAATTTGATACTAATCCTAAAAATATTGTAAAGTTGCAGCACGTTTCTTAGTTCTAAATAAAATTCAGACATTCTTTCAAATTTCTACTAAAACAACCTTTATTGGAATATATCTTCAATTCCGAAGTCATGTCTACACATTCAGTCTTTCAATTACGACTGTAGGCTTTGGCTTGGACGGCCTGCGGGCCGCAGATGAATATCATCAGCTTACGATGAAAAGGCTCTCTGTCCGTAGCCGTAGCCTCTTTTTTGTTGCTATTAACGGCCCTCTTTTAATAGCAAAATCATATCGGCAAGTATCGTACATTGAAATACTCAAATATTTCTGATAAATGCTCATTGTTAACATAAAAAACCAAAGCACCATATTTTTCAATTCAATTTAAGTGCAGTTTTGGATTTTCGATGAAACTAACGTAACAGCCTGAGAATAAACTACAAATCGCTTCACCAAAATAATAAGAGAGCGCTATCTTTCAAATATTTAAACGAATTCGCTTTTGGTGTGTTTATTGTTGTTGTGAAGAAAGGATTGTCTGTCAGTATGTCGTTACAACACCCAACGTAAACTAGAAACGGCCATATGATTTATTTTAAACGCAATATACCACATGCATGGAAGAGTGAACTGGGGAATCTTGCTATTAGAAGTGACCCGGCTAATAGCAAGTCCGCATATATTGGGTCTTTCACAACAGCATGATTGGCCACTTTACATCACACAAGGAGACACAAACAAAGGTGGATATGAAAGTTGCTATTAGGATTCACAAACCTAATAGCAAAATTTCAGGGCTGTGGCTGTAGTATTTGTTTGAGGCCGCCAGATGAATGCGTCACAATAAGTGTCGCGACAAGCGTAGGAGGGAGGTCTTTTTTGAAAGAATCAAATCAGTTTCAAGAGTAGCGGCTTCTGCTCGCTCTACCATGGCCATATCACGCCATATCATTGCAAAATGGCAGGAAAACAGTTAGCGGTCCAAATAAACTGTTTTTGCCAAGGATTTCCAGTGCTAGTTTTATTTTAAAGATATATGACCAGTAGATTATGACAGCCTTTGCTGAAAAAAAATTGCTATTAGACTAATAACGCTAATACCGCTCCCAGCCGCCCCTGACTAGAAGTATATATATTGAAAAGACGAAAACAAATATCTGATCTCACATTTGCTTGCTCTTCTCTGAATAGCTAGTAAAGGCGCTAAATCGATCATGGTGTCTCTACATTCAACAAACAGCGAGTCATTGCCAAAACACACAAACTATTCTATACAAACAACTTATCAACAGAATTTGATTCTATATAACAGGAGCAAAACACGTAACACGCGTGCTCAATGAAATGTCTGCGATTAATTAAGTGAATCATTTACCTGAAAAACACGTGTACGCGATCGATGTATCTGGAGTACAATCTGATTGGATGAGACGCTTCTATGTCAACACGCTGGTACGTGAGGAAGTCGTTTGGCATTTGGGGCGGTCCAGCCATCTCGCTTGCTCTGCGTAGGCCAAGGACTAGCAGATCCAGCACGAGGCCATAATACTGAACAATGAACGAGGCAAACTGAAGGCCTCTGATGATACCATAGGAATTGGTGTGGTTCATGTCCTTTTTGGGGGAAAGAAAGACAATTAACGATCAATATCTACACAATAGAATCCCGAAGTGTGACGTCATAAATCTATTTTTAGAATTTTTCAATTATGATCACTTAGCCTGAAAGACCTCTTTAAAATATATATAATTTAACAAAATCAGGTTAATCTGTTGCAAACTGACTGTGATAAAGCAAGCAAAAAAACTTTATGCTTTGAATGATTGCCGTTTTGGCCTTGATTTTAAGAATGTAGAACTACAGTTAACATTGATGTTGAACTATGTTCAGTGAAATTTGAGAGTGCTTTTGGGGGCTTTATACGCCGAGTAGTGACGAAAGCAAGATAACCTCGATATGCAATCAAAACTGTTTCACCATTGAAAGCAATTTGAAATTTTGCGATTTGAATGACAAACTCTTATTTGATTCATTCTCGATTAAGTAAGATTAAGTAAGAAGAAGAAACATGGCATAATTCTCGATGAAACATCTTAAATGACAGGACATGACATGACATGATTTCGATACGACATTTCATTAACGAAACAAAAATAAGTGCAATTCGTAATCGGCAAACAATGATGAAACTGGAAACAAACACCGCGTTAATAAATTCTTTAGGTCCCCTACCCAGAGCCTAGTAAATGTGGCGGTCACAAAGTTAACAACTGTGTGAAAAATAAGCAGAAAAACCTTAGATGAACGGTTACCTTGTAATTGACGACCACGTTGTTTTTGGCAGTCATGTAATCAGCAATATTGTGGTCGACTATAAGCCGCAGAAGTCTGTTAAGCAGCGTCAAATCAATCTTTTCGTACAACTTGTCGAATTTCGCTTCCATCATTACGTTGCATTCGCCCTCACTGGAATCCCACACGTCTTGAAGATTGTTGATGCCTAAAAAACACAAGTTCGTTGGGTGACATCGAATAAACGAAAGTAAAAAAGGTCTGTCTGGGATGATCAACTTTTAGAATCATTTCGAATATCATGCACCCGGGGCAAATCCAAGAATTTAGTTTAGTAGGAGAAGGGAGAGAGGGGTAGGGTATTGCAGTGAAAAAATTGCCTTTGAAATCAAGCATTTATCAAAGGAACTTAATTTCATTTAACTTATCGAAACATGGGTTGCAAATCATGAATTAGCTGAGCGACCTGAATTCACTAAACCACAATGCTGCGACTAATTTTTGCTGTCAACTTCCTGTATTCTGATTGGTCTAAGTGGTATGGGGGGCATTTACGTGGCTCAGCCAATCAAATATTTGGAACATATGTTATTTATTAATACCTATAGAAGCATAAACTTACAGCATAAACTACAAATATATTATAGTCATGGGACTAGTTTCAAAATTACAGAGCTTTAACACCAGTCCTGATACTAAGTAAAATTTTGGAAAGAACCCCGCATTTAAAAACACTTGGAAACGAACAAAAACACAAAGTAGAAGGGATACTTCAAGAAAAAATCAAAAGAAACTCGCATATGATACTAACCCTGGCACCATTTGTATACAAGTAGTGGAGGAGGCTCCGTATCTGCTGGCTTAATCCATGGAGGAAACAGCCTCCTTTTATCAGCCTCATACCAAAGGTACTGATCGAGGTATGCATCGGTGATCTTCTCCAATGGCTCGACGTCATAAACGGGAACGAGATGGCTGTACAAGTCCATGAATTCGATGCCGACCTAAAGGAAAAACATGCTAGGTTCTTAATGATTGATACAACGTTAAAAGTAACCTTCTTTTCATCCCATTTGCTTGGCATTCTGATGCAGGGCAGTTCTTTAACAGGAGTGGATTTAAATAAGACGAAAATTTACAATGGTAAGGATGAAATTAACTAGCTTGGTTACGATAGTTTTTTTAGGAATATGACATGATTTTCATAAAGATAATATCACTACGTTTTATACAATATTCCAAAGTTAGAACCATAGACAAAACAAGGCAGGTGGATGGAAAGACTTCAGTTGCCGCAACAACAAAACAATTTAGAACGAAGGTTTATACCTGTAAAAAATACAAAACTGAAGTAAAAAAGGACAACTTAAAAAAAATCAAGATGAAATCCAGATAAAACAACAACAAACAACATATAAACAAACATACCTCCTTGAAAGCACGCTGCGTCAGGAGATGACGTTTGATCCTAGACAGGGCCTCGTGGGGATTGTCGTAGGCTTGTTCAATCAGGCCGAGTTCTTCTCTTTGCGACTGGTTCAAACGGCTCTTTACACTGCAAATTGAAAACATTGAACAACTCTCTTAACTTCTATTGTCTCAAAAAGGGGCATAGAGGCGATTATTGCTATTCAATAGCGGTGGGGGTAAAAGCGATAGCTGTTAAGCAAAATACTTTAAATGTGTGTTCAGCTCTGCTTTTAGGGCACTCTGTGACAGATCTATAAACTGTTCTTATTATGAAGCTTATCATGTAGGCGCAAAGTCTATCCGTATACTTTCTTATCTGGATCAAAATTTATCTGGTACCCTGTCAATACAGCCTAACTCAATGGAGTCCTCTTTTTGAAATTCTTCTAGAAGCCCCTGGCAGAATTTTCCTAAATACGACAAACACCCCGAAATGAGAAAACTACCTGTAGGCTTCTTTCAGTTTCTCCAAAGCAAGAATGAGCAGTTTGGTGTCATGCTTGTATGATAATGGCGGGAAGGGGATCGGCGAGAATCTTCTGCTCTCAAGCCAATGAACTGTGGTTGTGTATATTGCCACGGCTTCCTCTGCTGAAATGTATGGTCCGTCCTAAAGAAAAACAGAACTTGAAAGCACGAGGAAAACTTAGATACACTAAAACCCAACATATTATCATACAAACAGGGACGGACACTTGGTCAATTATTGGGGGGAGGACAAGTCTATCGTTTTCATAAGATGACGTCACACTTGCCCATTTTTTACAACAAAAGACCAATGTCCTCCAAAATGTTGGGGGAGGGGGGCTCTCGCCCCCAGGTGTCCACCACTGAATACAAAGAACATGCAAAAAATCTAAACAAAACTAATGACCTTTGTTAGTATCACAACTTAAGCCCTCCCATTTATATCAAAATAAAAAGTTGAATATTCTTATATCACGTTTTTGGGAGTGTGATACACGGCGGTTCTATACACAAAAAGCGTGTACAGCTCTGCCCATGCGGCATCGAGCATAGCATTACAGTATGGCTGGATTGTGAGATTCTGTACATAGTCAACTCACGCTTTAAAGATTATAGTTAAGTGTAAAAGTAAAAAGGCAGATACCTTCAAATAGTTATGCTGGCGCTCCTGCTCAGCCTTCAAGTAAAGACGTGTCAGCCTTCCAAGATTCTTTTTGCACACGGTTTTGTCGACGGTGGCCCCCCTTCTGATTCGCTCTCTGTTATAATGGGCTGTGTTGGTCCACCAATCAGCTTTCGCTTTCACATATCGAAGTATCATGTTCTCGACAGGGATTGGCAGGCCTGGCACCTTGGGGAATTACAAAAAGAGTGGTTTCAGTTAAAAGGTTTTTAAAAGGGTCTTGGCTATAACTAAAAATTTCATGAAAACCGACACCAAGTTTCAGTTAGAACCGAAGAAGGACTTTACAAAAGTTTCATAACAAAGAAATTCAAGGAATGCTATGATATCGGACATTGATATCGGAGTTCTGTTTTGATAAATACTTTTTCAGTGGTTCAGCCGACGCAAGTTGCTTTAAAATGCTGCGGTAAAATGCTTATAGTGCAGCACTTAAACTACGCAATGCCACCATTGTATTAAAATCCATACCTTCCAAGGAATGTTTGCCTTCCAGCATCTCCATGCCTCGCTAAGATGCTGCAGGATGGTCCTTGCTTTGTTCTGCTTGATTCCTTCAGGCATCATGTCCAAAATGTCGTGCATGACAGCTGCCCTGAGCTCCAGATCATAGTGACTCTCCACTCGCTGCTTAGTGACTGTCTTTGCAACTCCCTTGGAGTGGCGACCCTCAAACTGCCTGGCAAGCAAATTGCCCAGCCATCTCTCAAGAAGTGGGACAATGCCACGCAAGAAGAACAACCAGACACGCCAACCTGGCGCCCAGATACCGCAGCCTGGACCTTTGCCAACTGGTCCCTAAAAACAAAATTAACTTATTGAAGAGCTTTATTCCTTGAGGAGTGAACTAAGTGAAAAAGTACTTGAAGTTTATGCTAACCGAAAAAAGGATGTCGCAATTTTATATGCAGGTTGGAGAACCAATAAGGTGTTGATTGGGCTATGTGTAGCGGCACTGATAGGGGAAGGTGGGAGGAGTTTACAAAACTCAAGACAGGATTACCCATTAGATAGATAAAATTAAAACTTCGTCATGAATGTTTTCATGAATATACACTTGCAACAAACCCCCTCCTCTTGTCAGGGAATTTAGGGTAAGCCAATGGATATAGGAAAATTGTTGGAGCTCTAAAGGGTACTCACAGTGTTGAATCGGTGGTAGATTACATGCTTGAGATCTTTGCACATCCGAATCTGCTTCATCAGTTTGTATTTGTACCTGTACATTCCAGTCAGTTGACCCACGTGGGCGAAGACGTACTGAATGCCGTCGGCAAGCTGCGAAGAAGGAGTAGAGAAAAATAACAAAATATGCCAGTACGCTTTATCGCGCTGAAACAGAGTTGTCTACAAGTTTGATTTGCTTCACTTGATTTTTAACAGTTCATCCTGGCTTCCACACAAATGGCTGCCTTTGCCAAAAAAGCATGCTACTATCTAGGGTTGAACTGGGGAAATATTTCCTGCAGGGGGTTGGGGGGGGGGGGGGGGGTTGAAGCACGAATTCAATAGAAAAAAATATGTTAGCTTGCATTTATCAGCTCATGAAGTAACACCAAGCAAAACTGTGGTTTACAAATGAGATAAATCTGTTAGAAGACTTTTTCGTGTCAGTTGAAAGATGACTGCCAATCATAAAATCAAGAAATTTCTACAAATAGATTAGTTTTTGCTAAGCATCCATCCAATATGTTATTTGTTGGGGAGACGAACCAGCATTTGTCTGAAGGTCGGTTGGCTTTTAACAATTTTACATCGCACGCATATACGCAATTAAAGCCAATGTTATTGTTTTTGAGGCGCATAATATATCATGTGGTATGAGCATTCGTGGCATTTATAGGAATAAGCCAATCTCGAATAAAAATACGAAGAAAATGTAATTATGCAATTATAATATATATATAATGAGTTTGATTAAATGCGGCAAAGAGCCAAAAAATGTAAATTTTGCCCTCACACTAATGGGCATGCCCATTCATAATACACATTTTTATGACAAATGGATAGATTAATGGCCTTGAACAATAGGAATTTGGAATCGTCTCCCTAACAATTATGCTATCAGCCTGAAAAGAGGTACACCACGGAAGACCTCTATCATTGGCTTGTGGGCCAGGAGAGGGGGAAATAATGTTTCAAAAAGGGGCAAAACTGTTCGCTAGAGCTTTAATGGTGATACATTTCGGGAAAATTTTTGAGCATCCCCAAAAGTTGGGAGCATACATTCCTTCTGAAACCCCTATACCCCTGATCACCACACCCTTATGCCCATACTCCCCATTTGCCCCCAATTTTGACGTCCCTTGAAAAAGGCACATACCTGGAAAGCATCGACATTTCCGAGTCGGTACTGAACATGTGAGTCGACCACAAGCTTGGTCAAACGAAGAATCTCACGGCAAAGATGGAAGGCGTTTCCAAAACGCGACTTCTTACGCTCTTTTGTCGTCAGCGTTTTCACTGGCTTCAAATTGAAGTTGTAGTCCAAGTGGAGGTAGTTCAGGTTCTTTCTGTGAATCAACAGATTTAGCATGTTGTAGCCTTGACGACAGACTTGCAGGCCAGCCTCGACCCAGTCTAGCTTGGTGCTCTGGAAGAACTTCGTTGCTTTGAAGGAGCGGAACAAGTATCTAGGAAGAAACACTTTCGTGATTTTGATGACCTAGCTACAGTTTTTAGTGAGACTAAAACAATATAAATAATTTCTGAATAGAATAAGTAGGAAAGTGCACACCCTCATACTACTAAAACAGAGAGAGAGGTAGCGTGTATAAAAGTCTTTGTTTCTCACCTTTTGTTCATTGCTTTCGGAGGACGGTGATGAAGTGCATTCAAAACAAAGTACTTGAGAAGCTTTTGGTACGAGACTCGCACCTTCACCGGCATCCCTGCAGGACAATGCTCCTGGTACCTTTGAACGGGATGCAACAAGATGATCAGAAGGAGGCTGAACAGGGATAGAGATGTTAATAAAATGAATAAGCCAGCGCATTGTGCGGGGGTAAGGTAAATAAACAGTTTTCAAAGGGCAAAACAACTGCCAAGAAGGAAGCTCTTGATTTATACTTTCTGAAGGGAAGGAAGTTGCATTTACTGCATGCTATTCTGCGAGGCTGTTGACGATAACAGTTGTCATGGAAATACATCAGTAATCAGGCCTTGGCCTTTGTAACTGGCAAACAGATCTGTAAGGAAGTATATCAAAACTGACTGTAGAAACAGCCTGCGGCAGACCTACCATGACTTGACCAGCGGTATATCAAGTGCCCTCCTTGCTAGTCCTGATCTCAGATTAAATGGTCGCGGTGCCCATAACAATGCGATTCCTGTTGACGAGAAAAGAATTCCATTTGTACAAAAAATGTACTGAGCTGATGAAACTGAGATGGCGTATCTTTGATGATTTAATGCCCCTCTATATTTTGCCATAATATCCGCAGCTTTGCAGAGGTCAAGATGTAACGTTTTGAGAGAACGTACAGTGCAATTCTCGCTGAGGGTTAAGAGAAGGATTTCCAGCAAATTCTTTAAAGCTCATTCTTTACTAATATATTTTCATACAAAAAGCAAAACATTTACATCCAGTTCTTCTAGGTAATAAGAAGGCGATAGAAAGTGCACCATTTGCTTTCAGGTGTAGACGTTAATAAACGGAGGGGAGGGAAAACATAGGGTTTTGAAAGACAGGGCCTGAAATACCAGGTAAGGAGATAGAAAGAGTGTGATACTGTTGACAGTGATACTGTAAACAGTATTTAAACACATTACCATTGGCAGTGTTGTCAGTGTACAGTGGATAATCCTGCATAAATGGCTGAAACTCATCGGGCAGTTCAAAGTCATCATCATCATCAGGTTGTGGCTCGCTCACCTGTGACCAAATGGAACACGGCATTTGTTACGCTTAATGTGACTTAAAATTTTAATGATAATAAATTAAATATTATCAGAGATCCGTTACAAAGTCAATATGAGCCTAACAAATTGCAAAATATTTGATACAAATCTTCCCAAACTACGACTCTAGATTTAAAGGTTAAACATTCTAAAAATGGTCTTAACTTTTTGAAAATCAGTTATATGATATCAAAGATATGTTTCCCTACAAAAAAGATTTTCTGGTCGTTAAATGTCCCTATGCTATTAGGGACTGCAGCCTAGTCAATAAGAAACAGCCCAAAACACTTCCTATAAAATACGGATAAGCAAAAGCAGAACGCTCTTTGTAGACTGAATAGCAACGTTTTTTTTAAAAACAGAGTCTATAAAGAGAGCAGAGCTGATTGTCATGCAGTGTCAGTTACTTGAAAATGCAATTAAAAAGTCCATTGTGACTACACTGTTTTACGCATTATAAGTCTAACAGATATAATTATTACAAAATCGACAAAGAGTGCGAATACACTTATATCCTCTGCTTCGCATCTATATAAAAAGAAGGGAAACGCATCCACTGGCAAGTCAAGCACGGACAACTTGAAAAAGTTTAGTGTGAATAGGGCCTAAGAAAGAATTTACCTTAATGCTGTGACGATGTGATATCGGATTGATGAGAGGATCGAAATAGAACGCGGGCAAATCGGGGTCTTCTGTCTTGATGAAAACCACCGAGGGAGTGTGATACCTGAAAGGAAGATCGAGCAGCATTTTTTCTAATTATTCCAACCAAAATTTCACATGAACATCTACTACATCAGCTGAGAGATCGCATTTTCAATCGGAAAATTTTGGGCTCTAAAGCAACTGTGTAAATAATCGTGTTGTCCCTCTTTTTATGTTCATTTCGTTTAATAAATTTTAGACTTTGAAAAAAACTGCCTCACAGTGAATAAGCAAAGCAAAAAATTTTAACGTAGACAAAATTGCCTAAACTTCACGATTAAGGTGCGAAAATATCCTATGTTTCTTTCATTATTAGATCTTGCTAGCTTTTCGTACATCTGGGTTGTATCTTGAAAGAGAATTCAGTGTTTAAAATTGACAAAAAGCCATGAATTCATAGAACGATATTTAAATGCGGGAATTTTCGAACCTAATTTGTCGCTGAAGCAATTCGCAAGTGTAGCTTTGTGTCAATGTAACAACTTTATTGTGTAGCGAATCGTTAATTATACTTTCATTTGAGCATTGATTATAGGGGTAGACTTGCTGAATTTAATATAGATTTAAGTAGAATGTATGGTGCAAAAGCAGCCTGTTTTATTTCTATCAAAGAAGGCATGCGCAGAACCAAGTAATCTAACCACTTTCCCAAAGTGCAGGTCATGCTTAAAGATCAAGCACATCCTTAAGTGGTCTGGATTCTAATACAAATAAAATCGTCTAAGCATTGGAGATTGGGAAAAAATGAACATAATGATTCGGAAAAATGAGTGATGCGATTGGTTGATTGATGACAAAAAGTGGTGCATCGTTGTAACTATAACGTGACGAAGTGCAAATGGGTGTTTAAATGCAGAATTGGTGGATGTTGAATTGTGGATGGTATTGTATAAGGAAACTAATGGCGAAGAAAATCAAATTTAGATTATTCATATTTACATCTAAACATTCGTGAACTTGCAAAATAAGTGTTGTATGCAGACTGAATCATAGCTAAAACAACAAAGTACAAACAGCATAGCCGAGAGCGATTAAACTTAGGCCGACACTATAACACCATACCTAGGCTGATGGTAACAATTTTGAAAGAAGCACAAAACAGATCGCCGAACAAACCATTGAAAAATTTACATGACTAAGAAAAATTGAAACCAAAATTTTCTGACTTTTTAAGTTTTCCGATATTTTCTTAAAACCTGTCATTTCTAAAACCAGGCTTTTCTAGACAGCAAACGAGCTCTGCAAAAGAGATGTTTTTGCGTGTGACAATCTTGGGAATTTTCTGTGTTGCAGTGCTTTATATGTAGCTTGATAAGCATGGAAAAAACCTTTGAGATAGTTGTGCACATACCAAGACAGATGGACATGCTGCGTAAAGTTGTTGTACAGGTATGGAAAGGCAATTCTGTATTCAGTTCTGACTGGCTGCCTTATGATGATTTTGTTGATGTCGTTGAACTCGTTCCAGTCCTCATCAAGAGTGTTTTGATCACGGACAAGAGGCTCAAATTTAGGCCCGCCAGGGATGGCAATGTTTAGGGCTTTGGCTGTGAAAAATGACTTCAAGTCGAACAGGTAGAAATAATTGTCGTCGACAAGATCAGTCAGCAACTGGTTTCCAAGGCGATACAATGTTGACAGAATGGGAAGGGTTAAGTTCCACTTTCTGTATGTCTCGCCATTGATCATCCTAAAAATGAATGAAGACAAATGTCAGTATTTTCTAGAATGACATTTTAAATTAGAAAATAATTACCCATTTTCTGTAATCTCTTGATTTACAAAACAGTCAAATTATGATATGGTAAAAAAATATTATCAGAATTGTTAAAGCTTTATATAGTGAAAACTTGTTGGACCAGAGTTACTACACAATTTAGGGAGGTGGGAGGTGTGGCTCTTCATCAAAATCGATTTTCCCTTCTTGCAATACACGTTTCAATGCAACTGTAATGCAAATGGGAGTTCTGATGACGTTTAAACGATTAAACACCATGAAATCTCGGTAATATGAGTTCTGTAGGGACCAAGAAAAGTCTAGTAACAGAAGGAGTTCGTTATACAAACGGCATTTCACGGGGCCAGACTCTTAGTTTGTAATAGCGAGAGGTTTGCAATGAGCTGGGTTCGAAAAAGTGGGATTAAACTCCTGAGTGTATATACTCTTCTCTGGAATGGTCATAAAGAAAGTACATTAGTTTGAAAAACATTAGCATAAAGTTTGAAAGTTTAAGCGTTATAAGCTAATCATGAGTAGTATAAAAGGAACGATATTGTTTTCTTCAAGAGCATACTTTTTAGCTCCTCAAAATACATATGCAAGCTCTCAAAACTATGAAAAAGGGTAGAATCAGCATACCGTAAAGCATCGAACAAGCGCCCCCTCAAATAAGAGCCCCCTTGGAATAAGCGCCCACCCTAGAGGTGAAGTTATTGAATAAGCACCCCCTTCACTTATTCGAATTTCCAACGAAAACATAATTGGAAATCAATTCAACACGAAAGATTAATGAAGAACACAATTTGCACCCAAATCTAATTTTTAAATAAGCGCCCCCTAGACTTAGCGCCTCCCTCAAATAAGCGCCCATCCTGGAGCCTCAAAAATTAAATAAGCGCCCGGGCGCTTATTCGAGGCATTACGGTATATGAAAAGACTTTTCATTGAGGTCTGTATTCAGAAGATATGCCTTATGCTGGTATTCGGAAGATATGCATGCCTGAGAATTTGCTCCCATGAACCCTAAGAAAACTAACCCGCTATCGATGAGTGGTTTATGGTCGTAAAACCATTCGCATACAGGCGAGTCTTCATCCCGATCGAGGTCCAACTGAATCGCTTCAAGAGGCTCAACATCCAGGATGTTATCAGCATAATCCAATGGAGGCTCTTCGTCGTCAAATGGCGGGAAACGCATTCGTTTGAAATGGCGCCGATCTCTCTTTTCTCGTCTCATCTGAATCCACATTGTCCTAAATTTTAAAAAGTTAAACATACCACTATATAAGAAACAGTTGCAGATGTGTTGTAAAGTTTTAAGATCAAGATCAGATTAAATTGAAAATCAAAAAAAGTCATTTAATTAAAAATGCTTGTAAACTGAAACATTGATCTGTTAGAAAACTTAGCCATTCCAATTTAGGCCAGGGGTGGACAATTCGGTCTGATGCTCACCCAGGATGACCAATATTAATCTGCAGGAGACTGCTAATCATTACACAGGGTAACTGCAGTATTAAAAAGTTACTGGAAATGTCCACCCCTTGTTGCTAGAGTTTCGTTTTAGGAGACCATCAGCCATATGCGGGTAACCACTGAAAGAGCTGCTGGACTCCCATAGGGGGACCACTTTTCACCGGAATTGCCCACTCCTGTAGGCAATCTTCAACAAAGTTTCATTATTCAGTTTCATTATTTTTCATCAACATTATTCATGAATCACAGATTACATTTACTGCATAAATAAATACAAAATGCATATAATATATGTAAAATTTGTTTGACTAAGTTGGTCAAGAAAAAGACAGAAACTTCTAAATAAATCATGTGAGTTAGGTGTTCCATGTCTCTTCTCTGGCTTTATGATATCTGTGTTGAAAAGGACGCACTGAGTTGGCAAAAGGACTAAGCAGATAGACTAATACACTCTTAGCAAACGCATCAATGTATTGATCTAAAAATCTTACCCCCACTGTGCAAGATAGATGGGCTCCACTACCCAAGGAATCTCGTCCACAAATGTTATAGCACCAGTAATGTGATACAAGACTCTGACATCACGAATCTGCTCCCAAGGCATTGGCATGTTCTCCAGCAGCTTTAACACAGCATGCGGCATGTATTTCAGGGCACTATTAGAAGGAGGAATTGATTCTTAGGGTACAATATCATATATAGTCAGTGAAAGTATTATAAATATTTGACAATAAGACTGACAAATTATTAGTAGAGCATTGCTAATCTAGAGATGAGAAAATCTTAAAGATTAACCAGAAAACAATTCAAATTTCATGAACTCATAGTGATAATAGTTGCTTGGAGAATTAGCAAGGTGATGTATTTTTGCCTTTGTAAATACTCAAATATAAAAAAATCAACAACAGTTCAGCAAGGGCGAAATAGCCCACGCAGCCAAACTGGCAAGGGCTTTTTATAGCCCACATGGTATTTTTTCCCGGAGAGGCCAGCTGAAGGGTCCTCCGTGTCTTTTACCAAAGGAAGATGGGTTGCAATGAGGTCTACAAAACATCCAGAGAAAGAATGGCAAGCAAAGAGGTAGACTGAAGGAGATGGATGTTTCTGGGTGATACGATCCAACATGGAGGACCTGCAGCATAAGCAATGAAGACATACAAAAAAATGGAGAGCCAGAAGAAAAGAAGGAGAGGGAAAACAATGAGTTACCTTGCAAATGTCATTGAGAAGGATTTGGAGAAGAGGGGATGCAAGAAAGAAGATGCTGAAGGTCAAAAGAAGTGGAAAGAAGCTAAAGAAATTTCATCAAGAAAGACAGGAAGGCTAAAGAAAACAACAAGAAAGAAGGAGTTTGTGTATTAGCTCAGTTCTTTTTCATTTTTGCTTCTTACAGGAACCCTTTTTAATATATTTTTGTAATACCATAGTTCTTGTAGCCATAACAAATGACTTAAGAAAAAATTCAATGCAGATGACAGCTGATTGCTATTAAAGGTGATGCAAAAATTTAGTAGAAGCAGCTTATATCCTATAATTTAAACATTTATTTTATAGTATTACTTTTGAATACATAATGATTTGTTTTATATAAATATATATACATAGCTGATTTGTGGGTCATGAAAAATCGATGGGGCCAGGGGTGGCCCAAGAGCCTAGGCTTTGTCACCAGTGAAACGGTTTTGTTTAAGATGATGTTAAATCATTTTGATCAAGGCTTTAAGTTTATGTCATGATTTGTCTAGAAAGGTTTATAATGATGGGAAAAACTTCCTTTGTTCTAATTAGGAAGGTTCAAATTGACATGCAGCCAAATTATTGAACAGTTCAAGTTCCACTGTATCCTGTAAACACAACTTTCCCTGCACAGTTTAAACATTTCCACTTACCCAAGATACACTCGCTTATCATGTCTGTATTTTCGGCTTGTCATGTCTCCATGATCTCTGATGATTTTTCTCACATGTTCTGGAGGCATATCCTCCTTCTGTGCCTCCACAAATCCAAACTTTCTTTTCTCTGCATACCTCTTTGATTGCAGCTGTTGCCATTTTCGAGCTTAAACAGAAAGAAAAGGTCCATTTTACATGAAAACAATGACTGCACAAGCAAAAAACATATGCATACAAGATTGAAGAGAGATAGAAGATCAAACAAGGATACAAACTAACTTTTCCTTGACTCTGTTTCTTTTCATATTGTACAGTTGATGAACAATTAAGGAAATTAAAGATAACTGCATGTTACGTTAACACTAAGAACACTGAATTGTGTCAATGATCCCAAAGACTAGTGGATATCTGCAATACTTATGTGTTTACATCAATATTCTCTTCACGCATGAGCATGGAAATATTGTTATCAGTTGCAGGGCAGTTTTGGGGGGGGGGGGTTCCAAAAAGCTCAAGCTTTGGCATTAAAATTTTTGATTACATGGAGCAAAGATTCAAATAGAGAAAACAATGTATGAACATTCTTTATAATACCAAAAGGGGTTATAATTTGCCATTATAAGCAAAGAAATTGATGGATTCAAGTTGACGTCATCAATTTTGTATTTTGCTATTCACGGATATTTTTGAAAATGGACTTCAGAATTGAAATCTTCATCTTTAAATTAGTTTATACTGAAAAATTTATGTTGTTTGGACCGTTTGGTCGCATGTTACTTTGTTTTGAATATTTAGATATTTCCTTAGAGTTGACCGCAACTTGCTTCTACAGTGAAAAAATTTTACTACAGCAACCAATTCCATTGAAATGTATAGGAATAAGCTAAATTTTGAAAATGGGGTAATTCGCAACCTGACAGCCCAAACAATTTGAAATTTTTGGCACAGGCTAATTTTAACATAAAGGTTCCAATTTTGTTATCCATTTTTGCCAAATGTGAATAGACAAATTGCTTGAATCCGAGAATGGGCTGATAAATTCAACAGAGAAGAATGTCGTGTTTGGTTGTTTCTTTTTGACTGATTGGCAGTCCATAATCTCTCAACTAGTTGTGGAGTCCAAAAATGAACCGTTTCATTACACAAGTTAAGCTTCTCTGTTTTGATGGTGACATGTTCCAAAAATGGAAATTAAAAGTGACCTTGCTTCCTGTTGATTTTAAAAGTGTCACTACTGTAAGTTTTGGTAAACTCTTGATTCTTTAGCTAATGCTAACAGACAGCCACATTACATTTTAAGATTAAAATGTATTTTTTGGAATTTTGCTTCGGCTGTTCTTTTAGATAAACAGGACCCTTGAAGGGACCAAACTTTTTCCTGGCTGGGAAACTAGCTAGGAAAAATATATTGAAATGTATTGATTGAGATGTAAAGAAAAGTGTACATCAAGGTGTACATCAAAACACACTTAAAGGGTAACAGTGAGTGGTGGAAGGTATTTTCATATTTTAGACTCAGACCTAACATTTCAATCACTCATTAGTGGTAACTTGAAGGTGAATCTTGATATCATATCACCTATAATCATCACCAATAACAGTGGAAATAGGCACAATGCGCAATAGTAGAAATATGCTTTTATTTTAACAAAAGGAATCAATGTACTTGTGTTTTTTTAACAAAAGTCAACTAAAATCTTTGAAATAATAGAAAAATGCTATAAAACGGAGGCAGATAGATATCATAAGGTCGCAATGATTTTAAATCGACATTATTCTCTGGCATAAAACATTACCTTTTTCCTGCAGCTTTTCTTCGCTCATGTTTGGCCCTCCAAAGTAGTTCCTGTCCGCCATGATGGCGGCAAATTAGTCCGGGCCTAAGAGAAAACAGTTTTCTTATTCATGACTTTTGACAAGAAATGGACTTCAATAAAATCAAAAATCAGGCCTTCGTTCAATTAAAAACTATGAACATGCACACATACCAATCAGACTTGAAGAAGTAAAAGTTTTCTTTCACGGTGTGCGTACCGTTGTGCAAAAACCTTAGGCCAACTTGCGATTGAAAAACGCATGCGTTCCGTAGTTTCCTTCGCAGAGGGTAGACTTGCATAATTTGACCTCGACACAGCCTCGAGGCTAAGGGAATCAAATATGGACGCTCAAGGTATGAAAGCTTGATAATTGCATTACAATTACACTGACAGAAATTTGTCGCGTTTCCGCAATTCACTGCCTGGGATCTTGATCATAAGGCTGATACTAGCTTTATGCTGAAGAATAGTTTTCAAGCTGATGGAGCGTTCAATTTCCTTTAAGGAGACCTGCCAATATTTTCAAGACCAGGAGATTTTCGAATTTTTATTAACAAAACAGAAAGATTTTTGTCATGAAGGACATGAATAATTACAGGCCTTTATCCGTTCTTTTGATATTTGCAAGGATTCTTGAAAAAATAGTTCACGATCAGCTGATTGACTATTTCAAAGAGAAACAACTGCTAAAAAAGAATCAGCATGCATTTCGTCAGCTACACTCAACTACCATGTCTTAAATAAAAATTACTGATGAATGGCTTAACAACATTGATTCTCAAAAGATTAATATGACCAAGTTTTTGGATCCAAAAAAGGCTTTCGATACAGTGGATCACAAAATATTGCTTGAAAAACTTTCTAGATATGGTGTACAGGGCAATGTGATAAGCTGGTTTTGATCCTACATAACCCAAAGTAACCCAAAGTAAACAATTTTGCAGCATCAATAGTGAATTTTCCAAGCCCTTAGGGCTAACATGTGGCATTCCCCAAGGTTCCTGCCTAGGCCCCCTTCTGTTCATCATATACCTTAACAACTTTGAAGAATGTTTACAATTTTCATTGGCAAGCATGTATGCTGATGATACACACATGGCAATAATCTCTAAAGACATTAACAAGCTTACCCAAGTGATGAATGAGGATCTAGAAAATATTTCTGAATGGATAAGGAACAATAAATTAAGTGCAAATCCTAAGAAAACTGAGTTTATGCTTATCAGCCATCCACATAAAATAAATAAAATTGAAACTCTAGCTCCTCTGAAACCTTATGGCACAGAAATAAAATAAGTGAAAAAAACTAAATCTCTAAGTATTATTGCAGATGAGATATATTTCTTGTAAAATAAGATATATTCCCCCAGGGTCGGGTTTTGAATTATCATTCTCTTCAGACATGTCTGTGAGCTTTTCAATTTTTCCAACCTTTGCATGTGCAACCATTCTCTTGAATCTAGAACAAAGGTCTCTCACCACCTATTAACATGACTTTCTTCATTTTAGAATCACTTCAATTTTTTCAAAAATGTGTTGCTGATGATCCAGAAATTTCTGTGACAGTAGCAGCAATTAGAACATTACTTGAGGTCCTCAAGAAAACTGAAGGTACCAGTTTACAAAATCCATTCAAAGGAATTTCCATTCAATTTTTTTAACAGTTCGGGAAGACCCACTCTGAATCATCCAAATGTATTACTGAGCTAATGTTAAATTTCTGTTCTAAAAAATTTCTGTTGTCATATTATTTACTGCATATATTATATCATCCATGAGATCATGATTAAAAGTCTTTTTTCAACCCACAGCCGAAACATTAGCTGGACTGAGAGATAATATACAAAACGTTGTATCCCGATTGACTACCATAGAAGATTCAGTTACTTCTGTTTCATCTGGATGTGAATTGTTTCTCCGATTTGTAACTTTAGCATCACTGGACCAGAGTGTATGTATTTTCTTGCACAGATTTACTATGATTTATTTTAACATTCGTTTTGTGTTCTGCAAACCAGTTAAATACTTATCATGATTGACACGATGAATATATATGATTTTATATGAAAACAAATTGGGCAACTTTCCTTTCTTTTATTATTTTTTATCAATTTATGATTTATTTACTTCTTATATTTTGTTCTAAGACCGATAGTTCATCATTTTTGCTCATATTTTTAGTGGTTTTAAGAATGTTGTTTACTTTATTTTCCTGGTTGGTTTGTTGGACTATTTTTCATATCTGATACTGCCAAGGTTTTTAAGCAGTAGCAGAATAGGGTTTGAGACATATTTTTTAGATATTTTTTTGGTTCTAAAATTTGTTCCCTTTGTCTGTAGCCAATCAGAAATCCAATTTAATAGACTTTCTTTCACCTGTCTTTTTTTCACCCAGAAAACAGCTGCCATTTGCTTTTTCTATTGTAAGCGATGTAATCATGTGGGCTGTTGATACTGTGAAATTAATGTTTTTAATGTTTTTCTCAGAATGATTTCTTTAATTTGTTTGATATGTTTTTGCTTTCTTTGGTCAGTGATTTACTACATATGTGGCTGATTACTGTTCTTCAATCTATAATTCATCTGTCTAGGAGGAGGGACTTCCTCCTAATCTCCATCCTAATCCTTTGAAAGTTCTCAAGTCTTACAAATTTCATGGTGTCTTACAAATTATCAATCCATCCTACTTACAATTCTACACAACTACATTACAATTAAATGAAATACGACGCTGAAATTAAATACAACAATGCTCAAAAAATTAGAAACTAAGTAAAGAAACAGACATTACATGATTGTATATAAGATAGATTGATTAAGGAGGATCTCTCTGTATAGAAAAACTAATCGAGAGAGAGCCCCCCCCCCCCCTATAAAAGCAAATAAACTAAAAACTATATAAATAGAAAACATAAACCAGATTCACCAATACCAAATTACAACACATAAGATTCGATGAAATAGTGTTTTAATTTGAAGCGAAACATTGAAACAGAACTAGCAACATGAATAAAATATGGAAGAGTGTTCCATAATTTAGATTTTTAGATTTAGGCTTAGTTTTTTGTCAATAGAGAGAGGTCTTTTTTAATGATAAAAAGATATCACCTGGCTATAATCATTAGAAGAATGAGATGAGGATTGTAGTCAAAGATAGCTTTCGGGCATTTTTTAGTTGGTATGTTATGAAGATGCCAGGGGAGCATAAAGGAAAGCCAAAATAAGGTAAAGGAGGGAGAGACTGAGAAATTGGGGAGAGAGGATCAATTTTTTTTATTTTGAGATAAGACGAGTTACAAGAATGCTTTGTTTTTTATATCTAAAACATACCAAACAAAGAAATCTTGAAAGGCGATCGTCTCTGAAGGTGGTCCATAAGATAAAATTAGATACAAACTAAGATGCTAGATGATCAGATTATCTTTTTTTCTAAAGCTTTCCAGATCTAAAATCTAACTGTTTATGGTTCATTAAGTAAAGCATTCCCATTTTTTGCTATTGAAGACTTAATTTCTGTGAACAATCTATGGATAGGAAAAGACTAGATGGTGCTTCTAAACGTTTCTCCATAATCTAATTCATCACTGAGCCGTAAGAAGGTTGCCACGCATCAGAGGCTGTTTAGGTCACAGTTGTGTGCTGAGCACTCTTTTGTATATGATTGGTTTAATGTTTTTGTGGCCCGGTTCGAGTGCAAATCAATTAGCTTCAAGTAATAAACACACAAAACATGACATAGTTTTCCAACGCAAACCTTTATAAAAACCAAATACTCTTTACAACTCCTCAACGTGATTCGAACAGTCCCTCTCTCTAACTAACTAAAAAGTCCTCTTCCCGGGGGTAAGTCAGTTCTTGTAATAATGGTTAAAAGGGGGGTCTTCGGAGAGGTCCTCACATTTTAGTTCTTGGCTACAGCCACAGTAAACCACAGTTTCATTTTTATTGGTTTCATATTTGTTATTTTATTTGTATTTCATATTTATATTTTCATATTTATATCTTAAAGTAAAAGTTTAGGGTTATGTTGCCATTAGAAGTATTGCTTAGGGTCCATGCCACATTGAAAAAGGTTGCATGGCAATTGAAGCATTACTTTTCAATAATCTTATAAACTAATACATTGACCATTTATGATGAAAATACGTAAGACCTCAGAAAAACAGTTGAAATCTCTAATCCCATGGAAGCCGGATTGCTGTTGCATAATGCATTTTGATTGTTAATGTTATTGAAATGATTAGAATGTTTGGAACCGATTCAACGAGCATTAAGCAAACACCATTAAAATTTTATGGTATTAGCTTTCTCAGCTTTTTCGCTAACCAATTGTGATTGCATGCAATATTGTCTATAACGTAGCCAAAAAATTATTAATAAACTAGTATTTTTTAAAATTTAATTATTTTTTTTTATTTGCACTTGGCTTTCTGATGTCAGTGGCTTACAGTGCTATTTGTGGTCTTTGTCTCATCTTGTTTTTAACACGTTTATCAGAGCAATTTTTTGCTTCCAAATGAATTTTTTTGCTGTTTCTATTCAAATAGGCTCCCGAAACGCTGAGATTTCAAAAAACACTGTTGCACCCCACCCTTTTTGCAATGTTAACTTATCAAAATAGCCACGCTTAATTTGTTTAATTCTACGTATGTTTATTGTTGCAACTATTCCTTTCATTTTATGGGTTACCCTTCAGCAGAGCCCTTCAACTATAAAAGACCGCATTATTACAATTGCAGTTTGCATCCACCAGAGATTGCCGTTCCTGGTTGCCACCACAACCAAGTCTCGCTTTTGACGAAAGCTTTACACACCCTAGGTTCATTAGGCGCTCTTCGTTTAGTTTCATCAGAGTTTGAAGTCCAAGTCCTTTCCAACGCATTTCACCGCCCCTTTGCTGCTCTTTTCCCAAAATATTTTCTCATTCAGTTCTATTTCACTTCTTATTCATCCCCCTTTCCACCCTTTTCTCTTTCATCCTTTTCCAACCCTTTTCTCTTTCACCCTTTTCCAAACCTTTTTCTCTAACCCTTTTCCAACCCTTTCGTTTTCTCCCCCTTTCCAACCCTTTCGCTTTCACCCCTATCCAACCCTTTTGCTTTCACCCCTTTCCAACCCTTTCGTTTTCTCCCCCTTTCCAACCCTTTCCTTTTCTCCCCCTTTCCCACCCTTTCGTTTTCTCCCCCTTTCCAACCCTTTCGTTTTCTCCCCCTTTCCAACCCTTTCGTTTTCACCCCCTATCCAACCCTTTCGCTTTCACCCCCTATCCAACCCTTTCGTTTCACCCGTTTTCTTGTATCTGCTCTACTAGTTTATGGGCAATGTAGGGAATCTTTCGGCCTCCTGAGGATTTGATTCTGAAAACTAGGGTGAGATGTGTTTTTCGTGGCGTTTTCATTTTCTTGGTTAATATGAGTATTTAAGGTTTTGGCATAGCGTGGGCCTCACCTTGCTTGGTGAAGCCACAATACAACTAGGCTGTTTTATTTTCCCAGCCCTCCCTCCCTTATTTTTCTTAATGCGAAATGCCTTTTCAGAATCGCTTTGCGTGTTGAGTTTTATTTACGGCATCGTTAAAACCTCTCATACCTTTAGGCATATTTTATGCTTTTCAGCGTTTTCTGATGCTATTAGGTAGGACTGGAGCATCGGCTATTAGTGGGGAAAAGAGGCTTTCCTGTCCAATCCCTTTCAATTATCAGTCAGGTTTGGGGGTTATTGTGTAACTTTTTCTTGGTTACCCCTTTCTTTTAATGATTTATAGTAGGTTGAGCGCTTTACGCCAATGCACTAATTGTCCAACTTGGTCTCGATGATGTGGGAACGTAGCCTCATGACTGACCTTCTGATATCGATGGCAGTTTTTCTGAGGAAGCTTCATGCTCTTTATAGTGTATTGGTATATCATTCCTGAGCTAGTAGATTAAATTATTTGAAAGCTAATTTCATTCTGGTGTTGAGCTAAAAGTCTCCTCATTGCTTCTATGCAAAGTACGTGCGCGTTGGTTTTGAAAAAAGTTTGTTGCAGCCTCCCTAATTCTTGCCGACAGGTCATCGATGAGTTCTCCCATATCTTTTCTGGAACTATCTGGAAACACAAGACAACACAATTAGGATGGATGAAACTGAAAGCCTCCTTTTCTTTTCTTTTCTTTTCTTTTCTAAACCTTTTCTATCTCGATAGAATAATCTCAAAGAGATAGAATTGTCTCAGTCATATTAGCAGGAACGATGCCACATACACCTACACTAATAGGAGAATGAACAAATATAAGCCAAGATATAAAATATGAAAGGAATAAAGGAATGTTTCGTCAAAAATCATTGAACTAGTAGTTTTGAAACAAATCCCGAGCTTAATGAAATCCAGGGTAACAGCCTCTTTATGAAAGATTAATGGAAACAAAACATCTACAAAACATCTTTCGAAGCATCACAGTCTTCAAGACTACAATCCAGTTCTACATATTCGATCGGCAGAATTGGTTTTCAACAAGAACACTTAGTAAATTGCTTGCTGCAATATTGAGACTACCATATGGCCAATGTGACATCTTCATGGATCTATACCATGTCTATAAAAGCAAAAATCAAAGAATACTCGTTCCATTCTAATTATAGAGACAAGCTGCTGAGCTTCTCGTTATGTCCAGTGTGGACAATTCTGACGTTATTTTTCGACCTCTTCTTAGAAACTTCTAAAATAATTGCAAAAGGTTCAACAATATTGCTGCAGGTATTCTAAAAGGCCGCTACGCCAAAGAAAAAGAGGCCACACAATTGCCTGGTTGCTAGCAAAGGAACGAAGAAACTGGCATCTGATGAAGCTTTCATTTAAGTACATACATGATCACCAAAAGCCCAGTACATTGAAATATGGATCAAAGAAAATTTCAGAAACGTAACAACCAGTTCTGTGCCGCTTATTGCGTCGTCTTGTGCTTCCAGATA